GTGACTCTCCTGACAGCAATTCACATTTTGGCTCATGTCTGGAGCGAAACGCCGCCCGCGGTCATTGCAAATTCTTTCCGGCACAGCGACTTTGTCCGCCCTGACAACTCGGATATTCCTCCAGAGGCCACTCCATAGGACACCGAGCTCACTGGAAATATGGACGACGAGGTGAATGACACGCGTTTTGACTCTCTCCTTCCTAGCGGCGTCCAGATTTTAGACTACGTCGCTATAGACTATCATGTTGCTGTTGATGGTCCGCTGACTGACGATGATATAGTATCGGAAGTGCTTGAGGAGGGCCAAAATCACTGTTCGACGATGACGGCCAGGATGAGCCGACGCGACGTCGCCGCACCGTGCAGGAGGCCGCCGAAGCCCTCGCTGTCCTCAAGGAGTTCTGCGTTTGTTCTCGCGACAGTGAACGTGCGCACTACCACCTGATGGGATTAAATAAGATCATTATGTCAGAAATTCCGACGGGGAGGCAGGCAAAAATAACGCACTTTTTTTAAGAAATTAAGGTTTGTCTGTGCCGCGTACGTTTTCCTTTTGTTTTCATGGTCCATTCGATAATTCGGAATTCATTTAACTCGGACATTTTCTCCTGTCTCGTGAGATCCGAGTTAACGAGCTTTTACTGTAGCTACGGCTACCAAAAAGCCACATCTAGGCCCACCAAAACCTCTTACCACGGCCTCACGTTCACATAACAGCAGTCAGACACCTTTTTCCATCTTTCTCAGTGAATTCTTATCGTGCAGTTAGCGAGAAAGGGAAGCGGTGCGGGCATGCAGGGCCAAGCCATAGAGGCTGTAGAACCACAAAAATAAAACTAGTAGTTGCTTCTCCTTCAAGGGACACACTACTCGCTTCTGTGTGCCGATTTCCAGCCGCACTCGTGTCCCGCACAACACCTTAATTTAGAAAGCAACTCTTCACACAACGATTCCCAAATGAGGCTGAATACCTTAAAAGGGCCTTGCAACATTTTTACAGGTAATCATTGAATAGATTCATTAAAAGAGCTTACTGGCTCCCGCATCTACTGTTGGAAAAATTTTTAGAACCCGGCAGGTATGGGCAGAGTTAAAGAAACTTATTGCATACCCCCCCCCCCCTCCAAGTGCTTTCTCTCTTCTTTTATAAGTGCAAGCACGCTGAAAGCTATGGAGAGAGGGCAAGGGCCAGAAGACGCATTCTCCCACGAGCGCACGCCATAACATAGAACACTTTTTTTTTTCTTTGAACACACTGCTTACTTTTACAGTGAACGCAAGTGTGGGCCTGTAGCGCCATCCTGTGGTGGCCACAATAATTATACAGCTCATGATGCTTAAATCAGCCAACGGCGGTACAATCAGGGTTCATGGTACAGTCATTTAGGATAACGGCATCATTTGTCGAGAGAAGAGAAAACAACTATAGGTTAACTGAGAATTTTTTGTAAATTCTAGACCACAAATGAGATTGTTCTCAGGAATCCTCGACTACCAATTAGCATCCATTTTCTGACCATCAGAAAGTGTCGCACGGGCCCTTTAACGAAACTTTAGCACTTACGTCCGGCTCAGTTTCTCAAAATCCCACGTCATGTCTGCAATACCAACTCTCTTAAAGAGGTGCTGACATCAATTCCTCAAAGCTGAAGTCACTCCACCATAACAATATTTCGTATACAGAGACAGCTCTGAGCAAGGCATGAAGCTCAAGAAGTGCTGAAACTTTATTTTTATATTAAAGTCAATTTTCACATGGCACACCTACTGACGACATTAGCATGACATCAGGCTACAGTATCAGTTCCAGTGATCTTACGCATCAGCATGGCTTGTTTAGACGACATCAGGCATCGAAACATGCAAAATGGCTGCTTGTACGTCACCAACTGAGCCACAGAGCACAGTGGCTGTAGAAATGTCGTGCCATTTTGAACAAGCATGTGACGAGAAGTTCATACGTGACATCGGGCACAGAAGGAATTGAAACTAACTCTTAAAAACATGATGCAACTATAATCTTGCAGGGCAAACTTGGGCTCATGGGCACATTTTCTAGGCTATGGAGAGCTCGGATTTTCATTAAACACAAAAAAAACCAAATTTTCACACCAGTACCTTCAAAGAGGTCGTGAAGCGTTTCCGAAAATTTTCAGACTAAGTGTGTATTCAGAATCCTGGCTATCTATTCAATATTATACCTCGACTCGTTTCACTGTTCGGTGTAAGAACGATATAGCGGTGCTTAAGCACTGGCGCTAAAGACGAAGGTAGCCAAATACGTGGAACCCCCACCTACGTCAACGAGTGTTGTTTCTTGTCTCTCCGCGTTACAACAGCAGCTTCAGTTATTAGCTATAAAAGCACAATTTCGATTACCCAGCTCATGTTTACCTCAGCTATACAGCTGACGTCACTTTAAATCAGCCAATGAGAAAGCCTCTGTCGTAGACAAAACATGGCAGCACAGCAATGTTTGTTGAGCCATGGTTGAGCCGATGTTGGTAACGACGTACCATTTCAATTGCAGCGCCGTAAAGACGTTTGACTAGTTCACACTTTGGCAAATTGTGCGGCACTGTCTGATGACGTACATGGTTAGCATAGCGAGGACTAAGCCACCTAAAACACACCGTCAGACACGAACCTAACGCAACAAGTAAGAAATACAGGAACGCTGCACTAAGCAAACGAACGCAACCAGAGAGGCAAGAATGCCACATGTGACGAAGCTCGGATGTACTTGAAAGCGGAACCAAGCAGATCACTTGTAGTACTTGCAGAGTATACAACTCTGACTACTAGAATTGTTGTGGTAATTTCTTCTTTTTTGGATGTCTATAAACATACTACATTAAAGCAAAAGAAAGCTAACACAGTGTTCATTACATATCTCAGCACGACATCACACATTAGTGCCTATAGGAGCCAGTAGTGCAGTGTGGTTGCTTAGGAGCCTTAGAAAACTGCTCTTTCAAATATTTCAGAATTGGCATGTCCGATTCTTATAAAATTACAACCGGGCAGCTTATTTTCTTTTGACAGCCCCTTTAATGCTGCTACGAGGTTCGCGAAATGTCTGCAGAATGCTGGCTGGTGCACACCTGTTGCAATGTCGGCCAAATTCAAAACATTCTTTTAGTTCAACAACATCACATGGCACGTTGGCTTTGCAAGCAGCAGTCTCGGCCACTAGCCCCTGTACGCCACTGTAGCACCACCACTGGCAGTGCGCAGAATGCCGATACGAATGGAGGTTGGGGGTTGCAAACACCATTCCTCCAAGTTTTCACATCCTGTCATTAGACGTGTGTGATCATGAAACATTTGCCTCAACTGTTGATGAGTAACAAAGCATTGATTGATTTGTGGGGTTTAACGTCCCAAAACCACCATATAATTCTGATAAGGTCCATCTACAGTCACAGCTTAGAAGACGGCATCGACCCCCAGCTTTCAAAGTATGGAAAGTGTCTGCGTGACGTGACATCTGTGCCACGTAATGCCACCTCAAGAAGACTAAGGAAAAAAAAAAAAAAAACAGGATCGTTAATAATCTACGAAGCCTTACGTGGAGTGCTCTCAAAATTTTTCACATCTGGCACTATTTGTAACGCGCGATATCGCACAGTTCAAGGACCTGCACCCTTTCACCTCCATCAAATGCGACTGCCGCAGACTGATTTGAACCTGCAACTTACCGGTCAGCAGCCGAGCACCATAACCATAATTACCATAGTCGATGAACAGGATTGTTACTAAACCTTCCATGTTAAAAGCGACGAAATTCTGAACGTAGATGTACAAGAGTGCTAGAAAACGTCTGCTTCCCGCCACACGACCTTCCCGGCAAGGTCCAAACGTTCCGTACAGCCACAACTTTGCATGGACAGTAGAGTAGCCAGCAATCGTACCTTTCTCCAATGCTGTCTGTTTCACTGGCTACATGGGATTGATTGATTGATTGATTTGTGGTGTTTAACGTCCCAAAACCACCATATGATTATGAGAGACGCCGTAGTGGAGGGCTCCGGAAATTTCGACCACCTGGGGTTCTTTAACGTGCACCCAAATCTGAGCACATGGGCCTACGACATTTCCGCCTCCATCAGAAATGCAGCCGCCGCAGGCGGGATTTGAACCCGCGACCTGCGGGTCAGCAGCCGAGTACCTTAGCCATGCGTAACAAAGCATGCCGGGTGCACTGTATTAGGTAAGGTTCTCCGGCACTCATTGAAGGGTCTTTCCCTCACTTTGTGGTATAGCTTTTGTTTTGCACCATAGAACAGTGCTTGCCCTTTGATACATGTTGCTGAGCTTTCGTGTGGACAATCTTGATGAGCACTGCTTTCACGCTATCCTGTCTCTCACCCTATTCCCCACCCTCCTCTGAAAGTGAGCGCTTTGAAAAAGTGAAAAATGACAGCTTGAAGAACAACAGAATACTAGCACGACCAGTGTGTGCATTGCTGAATGCAATTGGCAAGCCCGGGAAACTGTGGCAGAACAATAGCACTTGCAATCATTTATTACAGCGAATTTAAGGAATTTTCTACTGTGTCTGCCCTATTGCATCTACAAGGAATTTCTTACTGCACGTCCTCAATTGTCCACAAGAAATCATACTATATATACTATTCTGCCTACAAGCATTTCTATACTGGGCTAGCCTTTGTCTTTCATCCTTTGCTTCTAAGCACTTTCGGATATTGATCTATATCCATTTCACACATACAGATACATCTACGAAAGTTGTGCACTCATAGCAGGATTGGTCTGCTCATTTCACATTGCAGTTGCTTTTGAGCTATGCCGCTCTCTATGAACTAATGCTTCGTGCAGCAGAACTGCAATGTGGGGACAAAGGGGTTTGCGCAAGATCGCATACATGCACACCTTCTTGCTTCTAATAAGCTGCAAACACTTTGACCAAATGGTATATGGCACTTTTGAGCACACCACAGCCCCATGAGACAGCGGCAGAAGAGGGATACTCACCTTTGGCGATGCATCGTCACTCAGCCTTCACATCACTGCCGCCCTTGTTCACCTGGTGGAGCACATTCTGGTTCGTCTGGTCGTTCTCATACTCCACAAAGTCATCGAACAGGCTGGGCCACGCCTCGGAGTCATCATACGTGCTGAGGTCGCGGCCCGCCGTCTCAGCAAAGTGCAAAAACATGTTCCACGTGTCGCTCGTGATGCCGCGCACCTCGGGGTGGCTCTCAAGGAATGCCAACCAGCGCTCGAGCACTGCCGGTGGCTCCTGGGAAAACACAAGGCGCCACAGCTGCGCCGCCATGTCCGTTGGCAGTGTGCGCTGGCCAGACTCGAGCCCGAAACGGAATGTGAAGCGATAAAGGTCGCGGAACCGAGCCGGTTCTCGGGCTTCGGCCAAAAGTTCAGGGAACCGCACCTGGATAGCAGGCACCGAGTCTGCACGAAGTGCGCGGCAGCCCCCGAGGAACTCATCTCTTGTAAAACGGCACATCTGCTGGGCACCGAACTTCCACGCGAGGAGAAGAACGCGAAACTCCTCAGGCCTCACGCCCAGGTCGTCGCAGAGCTGCACGATTCCCTCGGCCAACACAGCGTCCTCTTCGGGGTCCCGGTACTTCTCGAAGAGTGCGGCAGCACGTGCCTCCGAGTGACGTGGCTCGAAAGTTCCCCGGCGTCCAGCGTCACGCTGGATGCGGGGGTAGAACATAAACCGTTCACCAATGCTGGTTCGTGGTGCCGCTGGAGCCGTCGAGATAGACACGTTGGACTCCGAGGTGGCCGCGGCCGAGTTGGCGATGAAACCGGCAATGCCGGTCGGCGTGGTTGCCGGAGTGCTGGCAACCGTAGAGCCAAGGCCACCGCCGCCACCGGTGGGGGTCGTGGAGGCACCCGCCCCGTAGGCGGGACCCGTGGCGGAGGCGGCGGCCTGACTGTTGGTGACACCCGTGGCTCCGCCCTTGGAGCACGCGGGATCGAGAAACTTCAGCGGGTGGTCACCGGTAGATGCGTCCTGGCCGAGGCAACAGCACAGCGCGTTCCCCATGGGCTTGGCTCACATACCATGGTGCTGCAAGGGAAGCATTGCAAGATATGTAGAATAAACCAATTGGAAGAAAACAATGTGAGGTGCAACAACAAGGTCAGCTGTGAACACCTCGGTAGCAATATTCTTCATGGAAGAGAGAACCGCCGAGTAGGTTACGCAATATGAAATGAATCGTACATGAAACAAAATGTACATGTGAAAACACGTGCACCCGGTGCACATTAGCCTTCAATGGCGTACAGTCAAAACTAGTTCCCACAAAGGACAGTTCTGGAAAATCTAGTTGGTTGTTTAAGAGAGCTCCAAGTCTCTGATAAATTGATGTAGAAGAGCAAAGAAGCATTACTGCAGCAACAACGCGGGAATTATGATTTACTGCCCACAAATGTGTAAATTTCACACACAATATTTCCAAGGCACCTAATAATACACAGTGATGGAAATGACATTTTACTTTTTAGAGCAGATCCTGGAGCACGAAAAAATGATGCTTGAGAGCAGCCTTAAGTGTTTCCGGAACATAAAAAAAAATTCAATTTTGGAGCAGCTGTTGGTGTTTTCAAAGCAGATGGCAGAATATTCCTAACGATTCCTTGAGTTTAAAGCATCAGTTAAACATGCCGTAAATATTTATGTCTTATTAACATATTGCATGTATAATAATCATTGCAAGCAACACATGACTAAGCAAATGAATGGCCACTGAACACTAAGTAAGATGAGCCATATATATTTAAATTTCGAGCCCCCCCGCGGTGGTCTAGTGGCTAAGGTACTCGGCTACTGACCCGCAGGTCGCGGGTTCAAATCCCGGCTGCGGCGGCTGCATTTCCGATGGAGGCGGAAATGTTGTAGGCCCGTGTGCTCAGATTTGGGTGCACATTAAAGAACCCCAGGTGGTCGAAATTTCCGGAGCCCTCCACTACGGCGTCTCTCGTAATCATGTGGTGGTTTTGGAACGTTAAACCCCACAAATCAATCAATATTTAAATTTCGAGTACTTGTGACCTAAATAAAGTGATGAAGCTGAGGACGAAATTAAAAAAGTAGGCACAATCACATAAAGCTATTGCCAAAGCAGCAGCTCGAAATTAGTACGAGATCACAGGAATATGTTATTCTCACACGTCCAAAGAGAGCCAGCATCAGAAATTAAAAGAAAGCTATTTACATAAAATGCCAGTTCTTGTAGCATAAACAAGGTCAAAGCCGATATAACGGTAAATATAATCAGTCAAACATCAAAAAAGTCGTCCCAGCAGATATTGAACTATCATCACTATCACGATATCGAACTGTCATCACACACATTTCACCAAAATAATCTGCCGGTCAGGTCCACATATACAGCTGAATCTGACACATATAGTGACAGAACCTCCGGCATGGCCTCTACGCTAGTGTGCAGCTAGTATGCACTTATTAAGCAAACTGCATACTAGCATAACAGTATATATAGCTTGTTTATGGTTCCGTGTACTCTTGCTGAACGACCGCACCGTTCAAGTCTATCGTTTTTTGCTTCCCAATACCATTTCAGAGCAGGCTGTCAGCAGTCACTAACAAATACGACACTTTGGAGCAGCACAGAGCAGAATTTCTCTTTTGGAGCAGTATGGAGCAGCACATCTATCCCTGTATTACATTTCAAGAAAGAAAATGGAAGCCATGTATTGCTTCGTGTGAGATTATAGACTATTTCATTTAAATTTATATGTAATTATTTTCTTCATTATTTGTAGTGAGCCATGTTCTATTATGACATATGAAAAAGTAAGTTATAGGCCCCAAATCTATGCCCGATTAGTTTCTGGTTGCATTTGTGACGAAAAAAAACCAACAAAAAACGCTCTCCACATTGCTTCTGGAACCCGGCACGTTCCAGAATATGGCTACAGTCATATACAGCCCATTGGGGTTAAGTCAAGATTTACTCACTATGGAGAAGGTTCAACGCATCTAATGAGCAATCTATTTTACTATCTTTCGGCCACAAGTTCACACAAGTAGCATAAACAAGTTGTGTATGCGTGTGTTGCCACCAAAATTTTGCCCCAACATATTTTATGAATTTTCAGCATTTTTCAACACAAAAACTGCACGAAATTGCAATTTATTATTTATGCTATCAATGTGACCTGTCATAACAACGTTTGTCTTCCGTATCACACCAATGCTCCTTGGCAGAAAAGAGCTCCAGATAACATACTGCAAGCAAACATTTCAATACTGCCAGCAACCGTTGCAACATTTTCCGACGTTCTCCGATGATGACTCACAGCACAATATGTCACCATCTAATCAAGCTTTCGTTTACACATCTGACAGGCTCATCAAACACCATTATTGTTCTCAATACCTCTTAAAGAGTTATGGATCCCAATTGCAGAATTGCACACTGACAAGTCAAAACAGTCAGCACTGAAATTACGGGTGAACGCCGATGAAAACCTTTTTCCACAAGAAAATTGGCTACGAATAGAGCTGCAGCAAATGTTAGCTGACTAGTTTGCCGTTTAGACGAACTTGCATGCTCAATCACATCTGAAGTTAATTTTAAACTGGACTCCAGGGCGACAATTTCCAAAAAGGTCGATACAACTAAGAAGCGCACCGTTGTGTGGGAATTCCTGCTTACTTTTCGACCGCTTGGGGTGCTTTGACATGCACCATAAACCAAGCGAAAAAAAGAAGTTCTTGCATTTTTTTTTAAATGAGTAATGATATGAAATTTAAATAGCTTTGTCTTGTTGCTCTAAATAAAAACATGGGTGTAGGAACCCTAAAAACTGTGTAGTAATGCATGAGAATGCAATGAATTTGGTTTTTATACTGCCACGATAAAAAAGCACATTCTACTTTGTTATCAAAGAGCAGCTTTGCTGTGATGCAAGCAATAGTCTGGCAGCACTGGAAAACTGCAACTCGGGAAACACCAGCACCGTCCCAGTCACTTAATGTCAGCCGCATGTGTTTTACGTAAACGATTAGTGCATTGCCCTCCAGTGACTGGGCAGATTTCTGCAATTCAGGCCACATGCAGGACACAGACTTCACAAACACAGTGCACTGTGCGGACTAGTCGTTAATGTCCATTGCGGTGGGACTGGTTTGCAGATGACCGGCCGGTTTAATAGTTATGGCGCTCGACTGCCAACTCGCAGGTCCCGGAATCGAAACCCGGCCGCAGCAGCTGCATTTTCAATGGAGGCGAAAATGCTTGGAATATGTGAGCTTAAATTTAGCTACATGTTAAAGAAACCCCAGGTAAAGCAAATTTGTAGAGCCCTCCACTACGGCGTCTCTCATGATCGTATGGTAGTTTTGGGAAAGCCCAACCATTATTATTAGCTTGTAGATGCCGAGTGACGAAAGCTTGAGAATAAATGTCGGATATCTGACACGAGTTGTCTGGCCCTCGTGTGCGAAAGCGTTGAAAGTACACATAATACAAATTAAAGGAAAAAATCACTTTCGGGGTGCCTCAAAATAGTGTCAGTACTGCTCAAGCACTGCAACACCTTCAGTGGCTATGCTATCACTGTGGGTAAGTGCACATGAAAAAACAGGTACGTAACCTGGTTGGAAAATGTTGATAACATGTCTGAAACGGTGGCCAAAGTAGCCATGCACCACATCTGCACCAATGTTTCAAAGCACAAGAAAACTGGTAAGACAGACAACGTTATGCTTCACGTAGGTGCTACTTAAGCGAGGAACGAATTGTTGAAACACGAGTCCAACTTTAAAGCTAGGCTTGCAATTTAAATAAACATACTGTCATACAGACATGCGAACGCAGAGCATGCACTTCAACGGGCTTTTCTTTTTTCTTTACTCCATAATATTTCCATACTGGTCTAAAGCCCTCATGAAAAATGGACGTGGAAAGGTAGACCTTGGCATCAGCGACTCTGCGATAGAAAAATACTGCACGCGTTAATTCTTTCAGAAAAAAAAAAAAAGACGGATCACTAACAATGAGAAGCACCGGCAGATCACGGAAGTCGTTAAAAAGACGACGCGCACGTCAAAACTAGAATCTCCCGATATAGAAGCTTTTTATTTAAACATGATAAAAAGAAACACACACACGAACACGCAGCAGCTCACGTGCAGATACCGCCAGCTCAAGTCCGCGCTTTGTAGACTTTCAGTACATCCTCGTAGGATACATCGATCAGTAGATTGCAAGCCCACTACAATAAACTCGCGGCTACCACTACTACTACGTCAGTGGGTTTCACCACAACACTCGTTTTTCCCGTCTTGTTTATTGCTGTTTCTTCCTTTCATTTTTTTTTTTCCCGCAGTCCGGGAACTGCTGGATCAGCCGGACACAGCACAATGGTCACGAGTCTACGGAGTAGCGAGTCACACCAGACGTGGACGCTGCCGTGTAGGCGGATAAGCAAAAATACAAGATTGAAACAGAATTGACGAGCTCACGGCAATCAAAAGGTACAACGCTAACGAAGTTTCGCGGAGCGTAGAGAGTATTGTTTTCAAAAGCAACGTGCAAATTTGTTTGATGCCGCCACCTCCTCAGAACGGCTTCGTTGCGGTGGCTTTCTCTTGTATATAATCTCTTAAATAACCTCCGCTTTCTGAAATCTTCGACGGCAAGACTTTGACTTGGGCAAGTTGTTGCACGCTTAGCTGACCAAACAGGGCAAAAATTACGAAGGAAACAAGGCACACTGGACGAGCGCTGCCCAGGGCTCGTCCAGTGGACTGCGCTCGTCCAGCGTACCGTGTTTCCTTCGCCTTTTAGCACTGTTTCCTCAGTTTCGACGGCGGCCAGCACTGGCCCACACTAGGGAGTGTAGCGGCCAGCTGGGTCAAAGAACGGCGACGCAACTACTGCAACGCAACTCAAGCAAATCGACCATTCTTTTGTTCCGTCTCGCGGTCAACAACACGCACAGTTGGCCCCTACGAGGACCAAGCCTCACGCAAAAAAAAAAGGAGAAGGCGGGGTAGCAATGGGGTTGCTCGAATGGGTTTAGTGGACAAGTGTCGGGAATATCGCGGTGACGGTGGAAGGGCTTACATTTCACATAACGAAGTCCAGAATGACGTTCGTTTTTTTTCAGGGGTCTGGCTCCTTTCAGCTCGCGAAACTTGGCCTCACGGACAGCATCGGCACACACGCACACTGGGCCCCCGAGAAAAACTCTCGGTTAGCAGACATCTGATGGCTCTTTGCACATCGAAGTGATACGGTAACAAGCGCCATCGCGGCGAAAATGATGTTTATAACATGGACGCTGTGACGTATGTACATCACGAAAGCATAGTCTCCGAGACTTATTACGTCACTTTGATAGTACTGTTGCTAGAAGCTGACTTTGAAGGGTAACTTTCAACTTTAAATTGACGCCAGAAGCTTCCGACATAAACAATTTGCCACTCGGCGTACGTTTAAGTACTTAAATAACGTCTATTTAATCACGTAGAAATTCGTCGAACACTATAGGCGAGGATCACGAAGGAAAGACGCAAAACTGATGGTACGACATCATATTTGTTAAAATCTGACAATTAAACCCTTAATTGCACGCTCAGAGTGGGGGCTAGTGAGATACACCTTACATAAAATGGAGATAGAACATCTGTTATTTCTGTCTGAGGTTAGAGAGGATCGCGTGCTCCAGCTGCCATGGCAACTTGATGCAACTTGCATTGTGACGTCACCAAAGGGGCGGCCACCATCATCATGGCTGGTGGCGTTGTAATGCAGGCTACGCAGTGATCTTCATGCTTCTTGGGATTTAGGATCCAAGCTCTTGTTTACATAGCGATCGCGTTGTTCGGCATCGGGTTCAATCCTGGAGCCGTCACACCCCGAAAAAGTAAGCGCCGCAGTTCTCTACTTCCTCTTCAGCTGTGAGTGCAGTGTTGCGAGCGGGTGCGTACCCGCATGCCGTTGCTAGACATCGTTCCCCCTTTTTTTTCCGCGTATCTGCAAGCGATCAATCCATGTAGCTGTAGCGCTGACTGCGCTACGCCGCGATTAGTGCCCGTGACCTCTTTAAAATAGCTCGCGCCTTCGCTGTGAAGCGACCAGTGACAAGCGATAAGGCTGGACGTCGAACCGTGAGTGAAACTTTCATGGGTGCCAAGTGACGTCCGACGGCTAGCGCTACGTTCGTTCGCAGCGTTATAATCTTCGTGAGTGCGCTTCATTGTTCCTTCGAATCGATACATTCTAACGGGTATACCGTTTGTCGCGCCAGCCCGAGCCGCTGATCAGCTGTCTCGACCGAACCGTAGGTTGCAGCTGTATGTGTTTCGCAGTTGTAGCATTGCGCAAATCTGGGTAGATTTCCTTTCGTGTTTTAGCTTGCCTGTGCGGGACTTCAAAACTGGGAAAACATTTCATCGGCGCACCAGTTGAAGTACGTGTCTCTTGTTCCTTAGCGTTATGCATCTTCGACTCGTATTTTAAAGGGTTGAAATATGTTTTTTTTTTACGAAGCAACATCGTAGAGCGGAGGGGTTTGTTAACCCACGGATGCTTCTTATCGCGTACTAATAAAAAAAGCTTAGCTCCTGTCAACAGCCCGATTTCGACGGCGGAACGGACCATTTCAAGCTAATTTCTTTCGTAGAATAGACGAGAGCATCCGACTTACAGGCCTGCAGAAGCTACGAGACATAGCGACGGCGGCATTTGCCAGGTATTCAGAAACTCGGGATGACAGGCACGTGATTGCGGAATTATACGTAGTGTAGTGATTACACTACGTATAAGCGCCGCGAAATGCGCTTATACGTAGTGTAACAATTCCGCTACGAAACCGTGTAATGCTGCGTGAAATTAATTGTATTTACTCGACGTGTCTGTGTGGAGCTCGCTGTTGCGCAGCTTGCCTTCGCAGATCATGTTTACTAATCCGAGTTGGCTCTGACTCGTACGGCATCCTCATTCGACATGTCCCGCAGTGGCAGTGACCTGCAAACATTGTGAATTTTCGCAGTAACCTTTGCTGCCAGATGTTCGCTTGTGGCACACGCGTTCGCGTGGTTGCTGTACGTTGTTGCTCTGCATTGTTTTCTTGCGCTCCTGTTAATTTCGCTGATTTAACCTTATTGGCTGAAAAGCCAGTTGCACTCCGTGCAAAAATTGGATAGGGTGACCCCGAAACAGTGTCAAAGCTGTCGCACTATCGTGACACCCTTTAGGGTGTAGGTTAACTCTCACCACTCAAGCGATTTACATTCTTTGGGGGCTTATCTTGTCCCCAAACTCTGCCCACGCCGTCTTTCTGCCTAGAATGTGACGTCACACTGATAACGCACATGCGGTTCATGTTCTGAAGGTTTCGGATTCGGAGCGTCGAAAGAAAAGAAAAAGGCGCGCGCTTCGAATGACGCCTGAAGGTGTAAGCTTTATTTATGGTGTATATAGGAGTATATGAGTCACTCCGTTTACATTATAGAAAAGTGACACCGTTAAGGGGTGTACTTCCGACGGGATACTGTGTTATCGATTGGGGCTGTGTGTAGAGTACTTGAGAATTATGTGCACAACCTAAGTGCTTATGTCAAATAAAGTATGCAGTGTTAGAACTCGTTGTGATGCTGTTATGGTGTCACCTGAGAAATAAGCTGTAATTAAGATGCACAGTATCGTGAAAATTCTCACATTGGATATTGCAGCAGGAGTGAGTGATGGGAGGTTTCTCTGCCAGTAATGACATGCACTTCTGAGCATTTATAGTGTAAAGCAGCACGATTGCAGTGCATTATGGGGGTAAAAGTCACGTGTAGCAAATGCGAATTTCAAAAGGCGTAAATGTTTATGACTTTGTGACATATAATGACCAGCCCCAAATAACCATTCCTTGTATTTTTGTCGTCAACCGCTGTCACATTGATAATGCTCATTTTGTCCATGACCTGGAAATACCAGGTTCACAGCCATAAAGTTAAGGCTTACAAGATGAGAGTCTAATGTTAGATAACATGAGCTCTAGGGCATGCAAGCATTTACTCTTGTCAAAATAATGCTACGCACATTTTAGCCATACTGGCACTGAACAATGTGGTGCAAAAATATAGTGTGCAGGCTATGTTGTGGAAGTGTGACTTAAATAAAAACGTCAACATTGTGTTTTCATTCTCAGAAATAAGCACTGTACATCAATGCTTCTCTTTCCAAACTATATGGCATGCTCAAACAGAGATGGCATTTCTGACAGTCAAGCATCAGGTCAGGGGCTTTTGGTTTGCCGGCAAGGTTGATGTTTGTTGTTTACGAGTTGAACGTTGTACAATTTCTAATGATATAGTGTTACCCACGTTAGTGATGCAGTACACAAGTCTTGTGGAAAATTGAAATTTCCAAGGGGTGATGCATCTAACTCAATCAATCATACGTAAGTTGCAAAGGCTACCATACTGCTGAAACTTCAGGTGCACCTGAAACTTCAGGTATTCAAGCATTGTGAGAATTCTTCCACAAAGGTTGCGATACATGAAGTTTTTGTGGCTGATTGTGCCCTTGCTCCGTGCCCTATTTGAAAAGTGCTACCTGCATGTGGTGATCTTGTGTTCTTTCAACTCTATCGCAGATGTCCGCGCCCCAAGTCCCTTACCCCCACCAGGCCCCTTTCCCTTCCCAACAGCCTTCGTTTCCCCAGATGCCCTATGATCCTCCACCGCCTTACAACCCACATGCGGGCAATGACGGATACCCACAGCCAGGATGGATAACCACACCACAGGCACCACAGCAACCACCATCTCAGCCGCAGCAACCACAGGCTACAGTCTTCAACCCAGCTGCTCAGGTAATGCCATGGCTTAAATCGGACGCTGCAGGCTTCCACAACAGGTGAAAGCCAAGAAAAGCATAGGGGACCTCTTTTTTTCTTTTACTGTAGCATGACGATTGTGTAATACCTAAATTGAAAGAAACTGAAGTCGACTAACTCGAGTAGGGCGATTCATTAGTGGCATCCAAACCCACAACCAGTGGCATAGCCAGGTGGTGGTACAGCAGGTCGATGCCCTCCCCTCTCACCCGAATTTTTTTTTCGCCACAGTATACAGTGCGGAAAATAAACATTTGACTGCAAAACCCTCATTTCAAATCAAAAGGTGCCCACTTCCACCCCCCACCCCCCTTCCAAGGAAAATTTCTGCCTACGCCCCTGCCCACAGCCTTCGAATAACGCATCTGACGCTGTACTCATTGAGCCAGGGAGCACTCTCTTGTCCGTTTTGTTGAGTATTTACGTATGCCTAATTCTTGTGAGCATTAGCTAGCACCACATGAGGCCCCAAGGCTGCAGGTGTGGAGCAGTCTTGCCTGAGGGCGTCCTGCCGAAGCCTGGGAGGACCTGAAGTTTAAATAATTATCCGTCAATGTTAAACTGACTGAGGCCAACTAAAGTGACGTCATGCATCCATTATTGTCTCCCCTCGCACGTCGCAGATATTTTAGGCAATTGTGTATGAAGCCATTGATAATTTAGAAGCAAGGCCCTTTTGTCTGACTCGAACCATCTCGTGTGTGAAGTTCCTGCTACTGCTCTACTTCAGCCTGCTTCCAGCTCGATCAGGGTGGCTTAGTAGTGGCCAAAGTATTTCACCGCTTTGCTCGAAGACTCAGGTTCAGTTTCTTGTCATGGCTACTGCGTTTCACTGGAGATGAAATCTAAAACACCCACGCAGTTTGATTTATGTGCTTCTTGATGAGACCCATTTGCTAATAACATCATCTGAAGCCCACTTCACAGCATGCCTCATAATTGTATTGTGGTTTTTGCATGCAATGAACCATCATTAAAAACGGTGCGTGACATGTACTGTCTATCTCTGCAGGGTTACGTAAAGCAAGGGTCAACATACGTGCCCACTGGTCAGCCTGGTCTCGTGCCACCAGCAGGGTACTACCCCTCAGGCGGTCAGCCAGTGCCCTCCGGCGGCTATTACAATGGCACCACACAGCAGCCCATGCCTGGAGGCTACTACCCTGGACAACCTGCGCCACCTCCAGGTGCTAATCAGGGATACTACGGGGCAACTGGTTACCCCGGGGGCAACACAGTGTAAGTGACAGCCTTGCTCAGCTGAAGGCTATAAAGAAAGCCATAATTTCATATAGTCTAGATGTAGAGGGGACCTCAGGGCAGTATTTAAGATTAAAAAAAAAAAAAAAACAAGCATCTGAAAACGTAAAGCACCTCATATGTTCAACATACGGAAGCATCGTACAAGTTTGATATACGGTTGCATTGTGAAAGTTCGAAACATGGATGCATTGCGGGAGTCTGAATTACGGAGGTATTGCAGGAGTTTGAAATACGGGAGCATTGCAAAAGGTGGAATTATGGAAGCATTGCAAAAGTTTGATATACAGAAGCACCTTGAAAACCTGTACTCCATTAAAGCATATAGCCATTTCTGATACTACAGACAAACTGCTGGTAATATGCAGCAACTGCCATTTGACAGTGCTGGTGCATAGTGCGTGACCTAGAACATGTAACCAGCCACGATAGCCAATAGTGCTTACGGTTCCCGACTGCTGAGCCAAAGGTCGCGGGGTCGAATTTTGGCTTCAGTGGGCACATTTTTGTGGAGAGAAAATGCTAAACACCTGTGTGCTTAGATTTAGGTGCGCTATTGAACCCCCGGTGGTCGAAATTATCGGAGTCCTCCATTAAAGCATCTCATAACTACGTTTTGGTTTTTGGAAATGTGGACCCCTGACAGTTTTTTGCTAGAACACAGGTGCATTGCCAGAAATTTATTTCAGGTGGGGTGGGGGGTCTGGAAGGTGCATCTCCTTGATTTCAGGGGGGGCACCTTCTTGAAATGGTCATTTTTTGCAGCTCTCTATGCCATAGCGAAAAACAATTTTAGAGTTTGTGGCGGGAGGGGGGACGAGTCTGGTCCGCCAGCTCGAACACATGGCGCAACCTCTCAAGTGTGTGAGCAACGTGCTCTTGTAAGTTGCAGCTGCCCCTACGAGATGTATTTCATACACTGTATCAACCTTCTTTGCGCAGTGTCGTCCGCGAGCAGACCCAAGAGACAAGCCGCATGGACGACCTGGCGAAGTGCTGCCTCGGTACCTGCTGCCTGACATGGTTCTGCTGTTGGCTGACGGACTAGTCCGCAAGCCAATGCCCCCCCGACTCTCGGGTCTGACCGATTGCGCTACGGTGGACGTGTCATCCATGCATGCCATCACCACAACCACCACCAACCATTCTAATGGCCGCCGTCTCTCCAAGTGCGCCCTGCCATCCACCGCCCACCCAGATTGTCTCGTATTTCTTCGTCGACCGCTATAAATTCCCTCTCCTGTAAAAGCAGGCGTTAGCTTAAAGTACCTGCCGCGCTTGACCGACGAGAGCTATATATTTGGTTGTATTATACAATCCGCTAGCGATCTTTCGGAGTTGTATTCTAGGTAGGCACAATTACAACTTGTATATGTACACGACAGAGCTTTGTTTATATATTTTGTTATGATGTTTCTATACACTTTTAGACTTCTGTCCCGAGCCCCTCCCCCTTTTGCAAACACCGAACTTACTTGTATATCTGGCGTCCCACAAATTGATGAATGACAGATACAGGTGTTCGATTAATTTTTTTATAGTCGTTCAGTTCAGTATTATAATAATTCTTTAACTAGGGACACAGCTTTATATTTGCACATTGTGTTCAGAGTTGTCAACATGCTGGCGTTAGTGAATTTGCATGCCAGAATTATCTTGGTGATTGTTGCTAATCTGTAACCACGAAACAGGTGCCATTAAGTGGTTATTTGGTTTCGTAGGAATAGGTGATGAGAAATTAGAAAACATTATGATAGGGTTTGTTTCTGTTCATATGTCTTGCATTTTGTATAAAGATGTGATAAAGCTTGCTTAATGGTGTAGAAACTTCATTTATGAAGACTTCCTTTCAAATTTTGGCAACGACATTTGGTTGCCCTGGTCTCCACCTTCTTACATGTTGAACTTGAAAGCGACAAACTCATATTTCTGTTGATGTTTGTGAGATTCTACGATCTATGTGATACAGTCTTCTATGGACGAAAAAAAAAAACCATTCCGTCACGCATGCAACGCAGATGTCCTATAATAGACCACACCCTTGTAGACCATTCCTTGCCTGCGACACGTTACTATAGCAAGTGCGTTTAAAAGCGCTTGAGTGGGTACATCGTACGCCCGGTGTCGGTGCAGGACGTATTCCGAGATAGCAGAGTCCGAGTGTTATCTACTGTGCCCATCAAGGCACGGTGTAGAATGTTCTGGAGTGGCAGATTGTTGAATCTTTTCTGAAAGGGTTATGAAGGAAAGTTTCCAAACAGCATAGCGTGGTGGACCATTGTTGGAGCAATGATGTTGACGAATCAATAAGACCTATGTACTACTATATGACATCACCATAAATATAGGTAATTTATATAAGCAATATTGCACCAGTATTGGTCCAATTCTGTGTTATAATTGGATCGGTACAGAAAAAAATTTTTTGCTGGCAGTTTCGTGTCGGTTTTCAGCTGGAAAGCGTCTAATGTCTGTTCACTCTTTGAGCATTCTTTGCAGAATTGTTGTTTCTCTGTTGTTTCCTGTCGGAAGCTAGAATAGGCACTTTTTCATGAAATAAATAAAAAAAAAGCGGGGAAAGTCGACGTACAATGGTTGTTGGCTTCAAGGATTGGGGTTCATGCAGATTCTATCAATTTTGCTACCGAGCTGTAGTCTTCTCTCTTGGCTCACAAATGTAGAACTGTTAACTTAATAAACGCACGTGGCGTGTTTGCAAGATGGGCAGATTGTGAGTGTTGCTTAAATGCCTCCTCGATTTAGTTAGCAAGAAAAAACAAACGAAAGAGAACGTCTATATGTAGACACTTCAAGACTGAATTTAGGCCAATGTCTTGGAGAGAAAACAAAAACTGTTTGCACGAATCTCTTTTCGGGAGCACTTGGAATCGTGTGGGAAATTTCGCACCATGTGATAAAGCAGCCAAGCTATTTGCTTCGGCGCCAAAGCTTGCAGTTCACAACTGATCAAAAGCCGAGGGCAAGTGGCATTTGAGCAACAATGTAGGTATGACGCTACCCGATAGCGCAAAGCGATTCTGTGTTCAACATGTGCCACCGGGAACAATAAAAAAATAAACACGTTTGTTGCATGCTCAATGCAAGCCTTGTCACTTTATGGTCACGAGAATATCGACACACAGAACCAATCGGTCCTGGAGTTGCCACGGTCAGTTACGACCAAAGAAAAAATGTCGACTTTGCCCACAGCCGTCAATGTCCCTCCCCCTCGATGGTTTGCATATATGCTCCATCCAATAGCCCTCACTTACTTTCGTGGCGTCTATCAAGTGTGATATTTTTTCCCGTACACTCGCAGATTTGTCTAGCTAATTGTACATTGAAAACTTCGCTTGTCCTAGTGAACCTCATTGGGATTCTGTAATGTTTTGGATTGTAATGGCAAACCCATAGTTCCTAATATGCACAAAGGTTACATTAGCCGAAAAACGTACCACAAGGGTGGGGATTCCGCACATTTGTGTTGCTCCACAAGTAGTAGGGCAGCTTGCAGCTTATTTCGGTACTGCTGCCCCGCCGCGGTGGTCTAGTGGCTAAGGTACCCGGCTGCTCACCCGCAGGTCGCGGGATCGAATCCCGGCTGTGGCAGCTACATTTCTGATGGAGGCGGAAATGTTGTAGGCCCGTGTGCTCAGGTTTGGGTGCACGTTAAAGAACCCCAGGTTGTCGAAACTTCCGGAGCCCTCCACTACAGCGTCTCTCATAATCATATGGTGGTTTTGGGACATTAAACCTTCGCGTATCCATTTCGGTACTGCTCGTTCACATCGTCAACAAGTTTAGAAAAACATATCCATGAAAAATGTGAATGGGAACAACATCTTGATCAGTCTACATTTCAGCGTCATACGAAGTATATTTTTTCTTGGGGAAGTAAAGAGTTCGGCGGCGGCCACACCCTGCGGACACCGCGTTTACTTCGGAAAACAGCCGTTCAAGAAAGGTGGCGTCATCTCGGAAAAGGAAGGCATTCTTTCAAAGTGAACAGCAACTGAATTTCACCTACGACTCCCCGCGAGTGTTAGTGTCTCATGCTGAATAAAACAGTACTTATTTCAGCGTAGCAAGTGAGAAAAATATTAGTAAACAGTAGTACTATATTTTGGCACAGTAGCAGGCATGCATTTCAGCTCTGTAGCCTCGACAATGCTGCCAAGAAAATTTATTGCAGAGTGCAGCATGCCATGTATTTCACAAGTGAAGGGCAGGCACGCCGCAATCCTGTGGGCAGAGCTTGCATTTTTTTTTCCTCAGGTTGTGAGCGAGTATACTACAAGAGTAGATTATTTCTCGATCAGAAATGCACAGAAGGCACAAGCCCAACGAGAGAGATCCCCGTTCTGTCAAAAATATTTCACGACTACTGCAGTTGGAGTGTGTACGTTTTGAGCACACCGTAATTGTACTCCTTTGTTAGCCCGATTGCAGCATATCACCAATGTAATTCATCACTTGGTGCGTAAACTTAACACCACGATGTTTTTCGAAAACTCTTGATGTTATTTAGTGAACTCGCCAAAGGAAAGTGATATTATTCTTGGTATCAAAAGTTACCCCCCCCCCCTTGTTACGAAAACCACTAGGAGCTGCAAGGGGGTGGAAATCCATTTGCCATCTCTCGGTAACGTTAAGAAGCCATAGGCAGGAGTGCATACGGGCGCTAGCGCCATGTTTCACCCCTCATGTAAGTGTCATGAAAATCTGGCGGCACAAGTGCGTGCAGCATCCCCGAACATGACAAACAATGTCATCTTCTTTACGCAACCCCAGAAAGTGAGTTTCAGTGAGAAAGTGAGTTTCAGTCCAGCAGCTGTGTCGTATAAAAAGTTTCAGCTCAATTTAAAGAAACATCCTTACTTGCTATTAAATATTAAAAAAACAAAACAATATACAGTCGGAAATGAAGTAGCATTTAGACCATTGGTTGGCAATGGTCTAAATTTAGCCCTCTGCATTTTGATGCAGAGGGCTAAATTTGCACGAAGTCTACAGAGACATAGTTGGGGCTGCACGGCAAATCGGGGAGGGGGGCATTACACTCAAAAAGAAATTCTGCAAATTAAAAATCTACGAAATTGTAATAGAAATTTTCAGCACGTGTGTCACGAGGTTGCGATTTCCAAACATAGGTTGCATCTAGAACTGTATTTGAGGTGAAAACTGCCATGTCTGCCTTCAGATAGGTAGTGACAAAGGAAGGAGGGTTGGGGGGTGCGTTCTCAAGGGTTTGGGGCCATATATCAGCTGTCTCGTGGGCCACACGTTGCTGGCCCCTCATTTAGACCACAAATTAGTTTGTTGTACACTCGCACTACTATGTAATGAACTCGGATATAACAAAATTTCGGTTATAACAAAGTAAAAGAATAGTTTTGCAATATATCTAGTGTTGCGAATACACCTTTATAACAAATTTTTGGATATAACGAAACTTATCTTCTTGTAAAAATGCAACTTTGATAAAATGAGGTGCGAGTGTATATGATATTCGTTGTAACAAATATGACGATCGACTTGAAACGTTTTCAATCTGGCACATAAAAACTTCTGAAAAAAAAAACTCATTCTAGTCTTAAAAAAACACTATAAACAGGCAATCTTAACCCGTCTCCTAGTGGCATTTCCACCATATGGTGGTTAACCAGTCAAACTGCCCTTTTTTGATTGTGTTGGGTGATCAAAGTTTTTACGACTGTTTCAAACAATTAGAAGTGTGGTGGTAAATTTTCTTTCAATATTTTGTTTTTTATGCCACCTTTAATGTTTTGAGCCTCGTCCCAACAAAATATTTCTTTGTCATACGATATTGCAGTGGCATTTGCATTTTGTTTCTTTATTACAGGAAGAAATACCAATAAGTAATAATTAAGCAAAACAAACCAAAATTCTCATTTAGTTCACTTTAATTGATAATTTGTTATAATGTAACGAGGCTCAACTGTATAGAGGTATTTTTTTCAGTTCAGTCGAGTTATACCCTGAATTTGGGTGACATGATTACCTTGTTGGAACAAGATCTGCTTCTTCTACTGATCCTGCTGCAAATATATTTAAACATGACAGCTTTTGTAAGTGCACCCAAGCAAAACTGTTTCAAGTATTGTTTATAAGAAGGGTTAATATACAATTTGCAAACCACAGTAGATAAAAAAATTAGCTGTCCCACATCTTATATGGCTTAGTTTGTGAGAGTTATTCTTGCTTCACGTCATGAATTCTCACATGTAAGTATGCATTGTTCACATCTACGGCAATTTTTGAAAAATTGGGTTGAAGTACCGGTATTCCTACCGGGCCAACACATGAGCAAGACGATTTCAAAACGTCTGCTTCGTGTTTTCAGTAAATTTTTCTCCAAGTTGAGCTTTAGTGTTTTCTATAGCAATACTAGCAAACTTGAAAGTAGCTTCAAATAAAGGCCTCTGTGAACTGTTAAAACTACTGGGCCAATGTGCCAAGCTGCTATGTGCAATATTTTCCACTCTTGCAAAGACTGCTCTGCACATTTATATAATATTCTTTGCCGTAGGCTTTCGTAGCGCAAGGAATCTCATTGATTATTTTTCTGTACAGAATTTGCCATAATGCGAAGTCTCTTCATCCCAATTCCTGGGGGAAATGAAAGATTTCTGCGGCCTTCTTATCTACATTGCCTTCGAGGCACCTTTCTTCATGCACCTAGGAATTTCCCTTAGCAACCGAACCTTGTGCAAGATGCAAGAATTTATACATTATCCTGGTTTCTGCATTTTTTGAAAACTCCTTTATAGAACACCTTCAGTGGACCTTCGAGGACTTCTGATGAACGTGCTTCATTTATTTCTTTACGGTCCATTGATTCACAACATTTACGTAATGCCAAGGTTTTGGCAGCCAAATTTAAAGCAAGTGGCAGTGTTGTAATAAACTATAGTGTATTTAACAATAACCAACTATAATTACAATGTAAATTAATTATGGTAAGCCAGTCATGCTAATTCACAAATCCAACTAAATGACACACTCAACTTACAAGTAATAGTTATCTGCTGGCAGAAAGGATTCTTAAAAAAAGAATTGCTTTTCAAATTTCTGCTGAAGCCTTTCACATCCGTTTTGTTAAACGCCACTGCCTTCACCAAAGCGATCTCATACAGCAACATACTTGGACCAAGAGATGTTCTGGAAAAAAAAAAAAACAAAAAAAAAACAGGCCTGCGCAGCACATTCATTGCAAAAACTGGAAGATCAACGTTTCTAAAGCCTTTTAACGCGAGGACAATAACAGCCGCTTTGAAATAACTCCAACGTCGATGTCGCTCGTTGTGAGCAAAAAATATCATCTTGTCAGCGATAGAAAAATTGACAAACATGCAAATAAAATAATAAAATTTTTTGTGTCTAAAACAGCAGTTGTGCCACAGAGCCACATGTTTACTAGGTACTACAGTGAAAATAACTTCCCGTGTTTGGAAATGCAGTGAAAGTAACAGTTCATGCTTTACACATGCATCCTGTATACAGGCTTCACAATATAATATGAATATGTAATATCGTAGCAATGTTGCCTGGTACAAGCGTACATTACCATCAGGCATCAGCATACGTAGTTATCATAAACACTTTTGTGGTTAAAGCTGGCCTACCTTAACAAAAGGCACACACGTTACTGTTCGTACTCCTTAGGACCACGTAGTGGGTGCATAAAAAGTTCTAAAACGCTTCGCGCACAAAATTGCTCCTTGTTTAAAGCATGCCACCTATTACACAGAATGCAGCCACATGTGAAAGCTTCACTTACGCTATTCTTTCAACTTTATCGATTGTGCTGTCAAATCCGCAATTTCTCACGATCTCAAACTTTTCAAAATCACACAATAAGAAGCAAGGACTACGTATTGAAGTACGCCTTAGGGACAAGGTAGCGCTATCGCGTTCAACTCTTAACCGAAGCCTGAAACAGTTCTGACTGATTCGAGCTCCCTGCATAAACTGTGTAATCCATTACAATGCCTTACAGCTGCGAATTGCTGCGACTCAGCCAAACGCGGTGGTCAACTAAGGCGCCAGGCGCAACTCCTGTGATCTCATTACAGCTTTCCCTGGAATAGGCAGCAAGGATGCCCGATTTATCATCAGCTCGGCGTTTTTGCCAAGAGTACACAGAAATGGCAAGAGTAGAGTCTCCGAATGAGGATGCCATGTCTCTAATGGTTCTATACCTGTCAATCTTTTACTGGAATAACTTTGTCGAACTGTGTTAAACAACACAGAAAGAATTGACAGGCACAACAGGTCTTTTCACGAACGAAAAAAAGTTCATTTTTTTTATTTTTCGACCTCTTTCATTCACATGGGGGGGGACTTTTAAAGTCCAAAGACTCCAAAGTGGGGACTGGGAAACGCACGGCTTCTCCGGCCCCCCCTATTGAAATATTTATTTACACAGTGCCCCGAGGCGAGATCTGCAAAAACCTTGTGTTCCCTTGACAACCCCTTGGTGGAACCACGGCCCCTCGGATATATAGTTTCGTTTAAACCCCAGGCAACAACCCTCCCTCCCCTTTTACGCAATTCTTAACACACCCGCGTGCTTTTTTTTTGGCTCGGTTTACCAACTCCCTCAAAAAAGCACCCTTTTCCACACACACCATTACTATTCCCCTTTTTTGCGTTTTTTTTACTCAGATTGCAACAGCGTTCGAACCAACTCCTCCTCCAAAAGTGCTCCCGCAGTGGGCCACGACCTTGATGAGCTGAAGAAAATCATGCGTAGGCACATGCTGCTGCAAATATGCAGCAAGTTCTACGCAGGAAATCTTTGATTTTTGTCAATGTACTTTTAGCCCCCCCCACAGTCTACGTGACTGTGTTCTTTTATGTACATTTGTTCGTTGATGCTCGGTAGTTTTGAATCAAGAATTCGAACTGATCACAATTTCTTTATTTTTGAGAAGGTGTAAGAATTTCGTTTTTAGTCATTTTTTCCCCCTGAATTGGCACAAATTTAATTTTCGAGAATCTTACGATGGCCGGTGTAATGCAGAGCACGGCCAGATTTTAGTGCGCCAGACTTCCAAGACCGTCGCCTTTTGCAGCAGCACTTCGAAGCCATCAACACAAAAACCAAAGGGACACACAGAATGAGTTGTTGGAGCGCTGCATCTTACGTCATTATTGTTATTATTTAACTGTAAAAGAAATTTTGTACATCCTAGTTACATGTTAAATATACATTCTTTTTAATCACATAAATTTTGGAGCATTAAAAAGAAGACTACATGGCCGCGCAGTGGCAACCAGCCGTGTACATTTAAAACGCACCTTTCATCACATAACTGCCTTTCCGCTGCCAGCAAGAGCATCGAGCATTTAAACTGATAGGCGGACGACTGGGTAAAAATTTCGCAGGCCCACATTTGCTTCTCGACAAACACAACCACCAAGCGACGAGACTGCACCTCTACTCTCACCAATTTCTATCAACGGATATCTGAAGCCCCGAAAAACATCTAAAAGAAGCTATTACGGTTGACAGCGTAAAAAACAAAATAGAGACAACGCACAAGGCAAGACAGAAAACCAAAGTCCAGTGCTTGGGCACGGTGACCCTTCGACTGCGCTGGCAAAAAGAAACAAGAAAAATTCCCCGAGGACTTCATCCCCGACCCGACCCAGTCTACATCGCTGGTCCCACTTCAACCACCACAGTTGACGGGCGGAGTGTCCAACGTAGAAGAAAAGCGCCGCAATTCGAAATGCACCTCAACTGTGCGGCAACAATTCAAAATGCACCTCAACCGTGCGATCGCCAGCAGTTAAAATCACAGCTTCACTAGACTTATGTGTGCTTCCTTTTCAGTTCCAGATACGTCTTCGCGAATGCACCCTTCACCCGGCAATGCCGGCTCACTTATTACTCCCCACACCACATGCTGAAGGCACTACAAAGACTATGATGGCGTCGAGCCAATGATTACGCAGTGTTCCAAGCAGACCCGCAACAGTTTTTCTCGAAATAGGTGAAACCCAGGAGAACGAAATAAGAACCATGATGGTGTGGTGGTCGCACATCAGGAAAAAGAGAGATTACGGAAACTTAAATGCAGCCGCAACCAGCCCCACACTTCCGTAAAAACCTTCGCTGCCAGCGCAGTCCGAGAAGGCCACGGCAATAATCAAATGGGCTTCTTAGTATTTATATTTATATATATATATATATAACGCACGTGCATAATAGATATATATGTACACTGTCACGCACATATTTACATTTACACGCTTTCTCCTTTTCCAGAACCAGCACCGGACTTTGCTCTCCCGGACAAGCCAGGCGCGGCAAACTAAAGTGAGGACTCATTCAACATAAGCAGCCGCATTGTGCACGAAAAGGAACACAGGACCGACACTATCGTGAGCTTCAGCCAATGACGGAGCACTTCGTAGCAGCCAGTCCTAAATTTGATTCGTGGAGAGCGACGCGTCCACGTCAACGATGCTCTGCGACGATTGAAGTGGCGCCATTTGCAATTTTTTCTTTCGGCCTTTCCGCAAGCGAGACTAGTCTTTTGAGAAACTTTGGGCATGAGGAAAAACGTACTAGAAAGAAAACATTTCGACGCAGAGCGACCCGCCTTTCACTACCCCTTGCTACAAACCACTACTTGTGAAGATGTTTTCCCGAACTCATTTTAACGGTGCAACGATTCTGCGAAAACAGCTGGGTACGTTACTTTGACTCATTGGAGAGTGAATAACAGTGCAGAACTTGTTGGTTTTTAGACGAACAAAAAGAGGAAGAAAAGAATCGATGCGCATGTCAACGACGGCCAGACTTTCTTGCTACACTACTCCGAGGAAATACGAAATGAATGCGCCTGTTCAGCAAGAGATGACCTACATTCGCTTCTGCAAACTGTGCATGTGTGGCGAAAGCAAGAGAGAAAAAAAAAAAGATTGAAAAATGTTTTTTTTCTTTATGTACATGTGCTGTGAATGACGCTCAAGATGATGGGGAAACTAAAGAATGGCAGGATATGTTGACGACGTAGGGTAGAGCATGTTTTTGTGTTTGCAGTAGTTATCAAAAAGTACTGAAGCTTATCATACAAGATGAAAGCTGAAGGGACAGATACAATAATAATAATATAAAAAAAAAGATGCAGAGAAGGCTATAACAGAGAAGAGATGGAAAGCGTTAACAGAAGCACCTGAAGGACCTCTACATTGCTGAGCTTCACTTTTGCGTATGAATCAATTTCAGTCGTTTTAAATGGACTTGCTGGTTGCATATTCTAAAATCTAGACCCAACTTTGGCCTTCTGCGATATGCCTGGGGAGGGAACGTCAAGGAGTGGACAAATCACCCTCCTTCCCAAGCTTCTCAAAATCGTTTCTCAACAATCACAGCACTCCGTTTTTGTACTGAAAAAATTAAAATGATGCACGGCCGGTTGCCAGTTGGCCACGCACACACCGTTTGCTTGTCCGTTTCAAAAATCCTTTCATTCCCTAGTTTTGCCACCGTAAATTTGTACATCGACGTCGTTCTGCTCCACAACATCCGTGCATGCCCGATGCCTCTCGCCAGGCGCATCCTGGAAGCGTGCGCGGAGCCGATTAATGCTCCGCGGCGACGTCCCCGACGCGGGCGGGCGGCCGCATAAATCCCGAGTGCCCTGCTGCCCAGCTCACTCTAAAGTTCATTCCACAGAGGCTGCAATACAGGGGGAGGGGGTTTGGTGTGGCAATGTGGCTGATGTGACGAGTCACTCTCATTCACTTTTTTTCTTAAAGAAACCCCCCGAGGATGTTTTGTGATGAGCAAAGAAGAAGAAGACCAGAGAGGTAGCGAACGTAAAAAATAAATATAGAAACAACGAACAACAGGCCAGAAGAGAGAAAAAAAATTAATGAAAAAAATAGTTCAAGACTTGAACACTACTACGGCACGACGAAAAAACGTTGGCAGGCTTTGTTTTTTGTGTGTGTGTTGTCCCCCGGCGAAGTGGTGGGCGGCGTTGATGGCTTGCCGAGTCCGAGAAATGCGGCACAACAACGTATGGTCCTCTTCTTCCGATGAAAAAAAAAATATAAAAAATACTAGCAGGATGTTACAGTGTTTTTCGTTTTGTCACACGCAGTCCCCCTGCACGGGTGTGACGATGATGCCGAAAAGCGACAATCGAGCAGCGACAACAACAACAAAAAAAAAACATTGCAGAAAAAGAAAAAAATCCACAGAGTTAAAGTGCGCTCGGTTGTGCCCAAGGAGGACTACACGAGAAACGAAAAACAGCGCAACGGTGCATTAAGGGAAAAAAAAGAACCACAATAAAATAAAACCGAAGTCGTCGAGGGGTTGCAAAAAAAAAAACTAGAAAATGACGAACGCCGACAATGGAGCGTGGGGGGTCGCAGCGGTAGGGGAGCAGAGACACAGGCTGCTGGAGTTTGAAGAGTGTCCGGGGGCCGAGGCTGCACGACTGGGCGCCGAAGAAGACCCCACTCAGTTCAGATCTCTGTCTTCTAAGTACCTATACTCGAACGTGAAACCTTCCTTGCGCCTCTGACTCCACTTCTCGTAATCAAAGTAGATGTACGTCCCCTGCAGAGATCAGAGAAACGCACATTCAGCGGCGACAAATGCAAGATATCAAACTATTGCACTCAAACCTCACCTCGATATAACGAAATATCAGTTATAACAAAGTAAATAAAATAGTCTTGCAACAATGTTAGGAATGTACCTTTATAATGAGTTTTCAAATATAACGAACTTTTTTCGTGTAATATGCTACTTAGTTATACAAGGTATGAATGTAACTACACCTAACTACAGATGAACCCGCTTATAACAAGACTAGTTTTAACAATGCTTTGGTTATAAGAATGAAAAGCTGCTGCACCATCAATTTTTTAAAAGTGTTTTCTTTGTGGAATAGCCCGCTTACAGCTATGCCCGCACACCACATTACAGGTGACAACAATGAATTCAGGCTGTTCGGTGTCCGTACAGAAAAGTAATTGTTACAAAGTAATCCTACATTATCCTACATAGGCTCTAAGTGGCTTGTGACGATTCCATGGAAGCGTCCAAATTTTCAAACATGCCTGAAAGATCGGCAACTCTGTCATTCTCATCATCACTGATGTCTGTTGGCACATCATGTTTAATATCATTACGGAAAGAAGTGTACATAAAGACAATTACAACAAGATGGCTTCTGGCGGCGCTGACTGACACTCCCACATTTAATGCATGCATACAGTAAAATCTCGACACTATGAACATCAAATTAACAAAATTTTCACATTTACGAATTATTTTCAAGTCCCTGCCGAAATTCCTATATTGCCACAATGTAAAGAAACTTTCAGTACTACGAACTTCAGATTACCGAATATTTCAGATTAACGTATGTAATTTAACCACGAAATCAACCAGATACTTCGTTATTACGAGCTTCCGTGGATGTTTGGGTACGAATATCCCTGAAGCTTGCTCCTATCATCATCATCATCTGCAGCAGAATGCGCAGGAAAACCCATCTCAGCAGGTGCAGCCCCATCAGCGTCGACATCAACACAAGAATCAAATGCATGCAACAGCGTCAGAGCCAAATGGTCAAAGCAGTCGTAGTGGCTGTAGGCTCAGTCCCGCTTCTCCCCCACGTCGTTAGTTGCCGACGGTTGGAGCCGCAAAGTTTATATTGCGTTGCGAGTTCGCTTTTCTGGTAATGAGTTCTCCTGGCCCTAGCAATAAAAGAAAACGTCGCCAGTTATCACTTAAAGAAAAAATGGACATTCTGACGGAGCTGAACGATGGGTAAAAGCAAGTGTTTATATGCAGGGAGTGTGATGTCGCGGCGTCAACAGCGGCAACGATGCTGAAGGATCGGGAGAGGAACTTGAAGGTACATTGAGAATCAACGGTGGCGCCCTTAAGAAAACGCTTGCTACCAAATCGTCGACGCCGTCGTTTTCACATGGTTTAAGGATGCCAAACACCACGGTGTGCCCTTGTTAGGCCCTATTGTTCAAGAAAGGCATGACTGTTCACGGTCGCTTTGGGCACTTCCGGCTTCGATGCAAGTGCCAGATAGCTCGATCCGTTCCGGCTAAGGAACAGCATGGTGTGGCAAGCTGCATTGCGGGGAAGGAAAGGAGACAGATGCTGGAAGTGCGTTTGTCTGGCGGAATGAGCGCTTTGAGGAGATCGTCGAGTTGATCAGTCGACGAAACCGCATGTTTTTATCTGTTGCCTGACAAAGAAATTAACTTTGAAGGTGAAATACAAGGGTGAAAAGAAATAGTGTGTTTGCATGTCAGTGCTCTTCTGCTGCAACGCCACGGGCACGAAAAAGCTCAAGCCTCTTGTTACTGGCAAGTCCGCCAAGCCTCGCTTTTTGAAAAACGTCTCGTTGCCTTGCGACTACCAGGCGAACAAGAAGGCGTGGATGACGCGAGAACTGTTCACGCAGTGGCTGCTGCAGCTCGACGACACAATGAAGAAAGAACAAGAAGGTTCTTCCAATAATTGATAACTGTTCGGCACATATGGCGAACGTGTGGTTGAGCAATGTGCAGCCTCAATTTCTACCTGCAAATCGTACTATTTTGTTAAACTCTTTAGACCAGGGTAACATCAGATGTGTCAAAGCCGAATTTCAGATGCGACTTGTGCAGCACCTTTTCATCAACATACGACTAAAGCTGCCAATGGAGGTCAACATCCCTCAAGCTGCAGAAGTGCTGAAAGGGTCGTGGTGAAACGAAAAGGCCAGCACTATAAGCAAGTGCAGGCAAAAGGCAGACCTTCTCGAGACTTCTTCGCCACAAGACTGCGATGATGAAGCGGAGCTCGATTCAGAGCTGTGGAACGAGCTTACCGAAAAGCTCCCGATAGACACAGCAGTAACCTTGGAGAATTACATGGACAGCGACTGAGCAGTGGCTACGTCTGTAGAGCTCACCTGCGAAGAAATCGTCAGCCAAGTGCAGGAACAAGATTGCTCTAGTAGTGACAAGGACGACACCGCAGATGCAGAGACTGGGACAAAGGAACAGATTATTTCCAGCTCAGATATTGTTGTCTTCCTTGAAAAGACGGGGTGGTATCTATGGTGCTGCAAGGATGTACCCGATGACATCCCTAGGAAAGTTGCAGACGTGGAGGCATATATGCACCAGCGTCTGCTTTCTACTCACCAGAAGAAGATAACGAACTTCTTTAAACAGTAAAGTTTCTCCACAAGGAGCCCAGTGTTTTCAATTATTGTTTGCGCCCTAACATGTGCACCTCCTGCAAAGGTATGTGATTTTCGTTGTGTTGCATAACTGACATCATTTTCAGTATTACAATGTTTAAGAATAACGAGCTAAATTCGGCAGTCTCATCACGAAGTTCATTGTAACGAGATTCTCCTGTATACCCAATACAGTGGACGAGGGGATAGCCGCCGTGGTAGCTCAGATGGTAGAGCATCGGACGTGTTATTTTAAGGTTGCAGGTATGGTCTCTGCCCACAGCAAATTGTCTTTTCGTCCACATTTCTTTCTTCACAGTTACATTACAATTACTTCAAACAACATTCCCTATACTTCCCTTGGCATGATTGTCAGTTGGATCTCAATAATACTAATATCATTATAGCTTTTTCATAACAGCCTGCCGTCCTTCTATTTTCTTTTTTGTGTACCCCGTTTATAACAAATAGCAGTTATAACACTGAAACTATCGCGGCACTTAAGTACCTCATTAAGCAATGCTAACCGACATCATTCTTGCCACCTAGGTCGATGCACAGAAGCCTGCACAAATGGGTGGGCACTGCGGACTGACGCGATGAGCCCCATGGCTAGGGTGAGCCCTCGTTCCGGGAACATGACCAAGGGTACGAGTGGGACTACAAAGCCTCATTATAACAATGTTGCACCTTGCACGAAAATGAGTTCGTTATATCCAAAAAGTTGTTACAAAGGTGCATTCCTAACACTGTCTTTATTGCAAGACTATACATTTACTTTGTTATGATCAATATTTCATTATATCTGGGTTTGCTAAATTGAGCTTTGGGTGTATTCAGTGGTGGAAGCAATAATCCATTGCACTTTAGTGGGCTTGAGCAAACAGTGAATTTTACGTTCAAAACAAATTTGAAGCAAATTCAGATTTCGGGCTAATATGTTTGAGTCGAATTCCAATAGTGTATATACAGTCGAGCCCACATATAACGGCCCGCTTAAAACGAACTTTCGCTTAAAACGAACAATATCCGCGTGACCGTCAAAGTATACATTGGTTAAATGGCACAAACTCGCACTTACAACGAACATCTCCGAACGCCGCTGATCGGTTACAGCAAACGGAGTCGGCGGTCTGCCGACTTCTTGGGAAACCTATTTCGACCACCCATCAGGCATCGGTGAGGTGCCCATACATTCTTATTGTTAAACGCCGATTCTGCCTCCGCGCCCCTCTAGTTGCTGTTCTCCCTGACCGCTTTTTGTTACGCACCCCTCTGTCCTTTGTGCCCCCGCTACTCTGAGCACTCCGCATCGCCAGACGAGGCCTGTGTTTTCACACTGCCACCGATCTTTCGAAGACAGGTCGGCCACGTACCCTGTTTTTGATCGCTGGTACTGTAGTTGGCGTCACCGGCCTGGAGTGACCAGACCATTTGCCAACATCGTCGGCCACCGACTGTATCCGATAGTCTGCATCTAGTGCACGTGCGTACGCTACAGCACCGACTCTGATAATTTGCGATTCATTTCGTGCTTAGGACTTGTTCTCGCTCACTTCGCACTCAACTCAGCATGCCTTCCGCACGTGTGCGGAAGCGCGAAAACGGCTGTTAATTTGCGCGGAATGAATCGCGAAATATTGAAGTTCGTGAGGCCACGCAACCCCGCCGGCGCAACAAAACGATTTTTAACCATGGCGGCCGATTCTTCGAACGCCGCCGCACGCACCGAATGAGGCGGCCATGCTTTGGCTTCTGCGTGCAACGGCACTCTTTTTCAAGTTTTTCTACATGCAAGTTTCGCGGACTTTTTAGCAAGCTACCCAACCTGCCTCCTTCCCGTGTGTTTTGGTTTTCAAGGTCACCCTCCCGCCGCATCCTCCCCTCTCTTTATCGCACGGAGGAAGGAATCTTTCATTCTTCCGTGCTTTATCGCGACTCCTTGCTCTTCTCTCGCAAGTCTGTTCTCCTGTCTTGATCACCACCCCTTCGCCCGTCTCCACCGCTCCGCGACGCCCGCCACGCTGGCTCGAATTAGTTTCGTTTTCAGACTGGAAATGCACCCAGAGCTGTTCCACGCGTGTGCGCGTCTTGCTCGCTCTTGGTGTGCGTGTGTGGTCACGATGGCCAAAGGGAGGACTAGCACGCTTTTTCGTGCCGCGTTGAGGAGCGTTTGCTCATAGCTGTTGACCACCTGGCAGCCAACTTGCCGCTTCGGGCGTCCCGGTATTCAGCTGTGGAGAGGGTGAATATTTCGTGTGCGGCGGTGACGGCTACACGTGCGCGAAACTATTTTCGCGAGGCCGACTTCGTCGATCGTCGGGCCCGATGCCGAGCCTGAAGCTTCCGAACAGGACCACTGCAGCGGCGATTTGTGGCAGCGTGTCGTCGACTCCGACCTGGGAGAGCGGGTTGGACATCTCTTGCGATGATTTAATTACGGCCGATGATGATGCAGACACTGCGAAACCGTGCACGGATTGGGGATTGTGAATGAAGTACGTGGCGAGAGCGATTTGGAGGAATAGGATTGCGAGAACGACGAAGCTTTGGAGCCAGCGCCTCATGCAGCTTATGCCACGGGCCTCGGCGAATGAGCAGCCTGCCATTTTAAATGAACTCGAGACCGCCCTTATCGTTTTTGCTCTTCGAAGCATGTGCATCGCGGACTTCTTGGGGCAAGAAAAGTTTGTGTTTTCACTCGCAACTTTTTAAAAGCTGTGTTTCATTTACTACGAACTTCGGGATACAGCGAACGGATGCCGCGTCACGCTCAGGTTCGTTATAAGCGGGCTCTACTGTATCACATATCATAAAGAAAGAGGGCATAATCTATCATAAACAAACTAACCTGCACAATATATTTTTAAAATTCAAATGACTCCTGTGCAAGTACTATCTTTTTTTGCATTAAACGAAGTGGAAACAACTTTCAATAGTAGCAGGATTTGACTTTCTCTAGAATGCAAGTGATAGATAGACTGTAAAAAATGTCAAGTTTTTAAAATTTGCTATACTTAGAGCATAAAGTCAGTATAACAAGCTTTTAAACTGAACAAAAAAATACAACTTCAAGAGGGGCTTTATACAACTTTCAAGAGGGGCTTTGCGGCAGTGCGGAATTCTCCTGATTATGTGTTTTCACGGCTCAGCACGCCTTCACAGCAGTGAAGCCACTTTTACAAAAATTTACATGTGAATTATTATATACCTGGATAAGTGCTTTCACTGTTTAGCACCCCTTAACTTCAGTGAAAGCACCATTACAGAATGCACTTATTCACCTCGAATAATTCGAAAATTTAAAAAACTTATTGTAATTACTTGAATCTAACGCGCACCTTTTTTCCGGTTAAGCGAGTTCATAAATCGCATGCGCGTTAAAATCGAGTGCGAAAAAAAAAATGAATACGGTCATTCTATTGCCATCGGCATTTCCGAAATGTCCGCCCCCTACGTGCTTCGGCATGGCGCGTCGGCCATTTCTGCCTATGTGTTTCCCATGTGCGGCACTTCGTACGTGTGCCGAGGAGTTCGTCATCTTGTAGTTCATTAGCATCGACGGCATGGAAGGGTCGACTCCAGAAACTCGACGAGTGCACCACGATGCCGCTTTTAAAAGAAAAGTCATTGCGTGTGCAGAAAAAGACGGAAATCGGGCCGCATCGCGGTCGTTCGGAGTTCCCGAAATGAGCGTGTGGTACTGGCGGAAACAAAACCAGAAGATTGTCAAAGATTCACGCAAAGGCTTCAGTGGACCACAGCAGGGTCGGTTTCCGCAAATTGAAGAGCTGCTCGCCGAGTATGTGCTTGAGCAGCGAGCGGCACAGCGGCCCGTGACGACAGAACTGCTCTAAGTGCGGGCTATGCAGTTAGCTTTAAAAAAGGGCTAACGCGGAGCCAGTTCAAAGCAAGCAGGTGCTGGCTAACTAACTTTATGAACAGGAAAGGCTTTGCCCTCCGAAAGCGAACGGGCAGGCGCCAAAACTTGCCGGAGGAGTACGAAGAAAAGCTTCAAAGTTTTCAGAGGTTCGTCCTAAACTTGCGGCACAACAATGGCTACCTGCTTGGGCAAATCGGGAATGCCGATCAGACGCCTCTTTACTTCGACATGCCTGGCACCACAACCGTCGAGAAGAAGGGGGCGAAGCAAGTTCGCATGCTGACATCGGGCCACGGTAAAACAAGAGTGACGGCAATGCTCCGTTGCACGTAAGATAGGCACAAGCTTCCCCCGTACCTCATATTTAAACGGAAGATGCTCTCGAAAGGAGTTGTTTTCCCGAGTAGTGTAATCGTGCGGGCCAACAAGAAAAATGGGTGCGCGTTGCAATCGATGTCTTAATTTTTTTTTGCCATGAAAACCGAGTGCGCGTTACAATCGAGGGCACGATAGAATCCAGTAAATACGGTAAATTTGATCCAAAGCAAATTCGAATAATGCATTATTCATTCGAATATTTGAAGCACTCGAATATTTGCCCAAGGCTAGACTTTAGTCATCCGGGTGGGGCCTCTCCAGACTTCTTAAAGGAGCCCTGAAAGACTTTTTGAGTACGGCCAGAAAACGCTGCCGATGCGAAGTAGTGGCGCCAGAACACGCGAGCCACATATTGTAGCACAGCATGCGGCCTGGAATTCACAATAAATGATCAAAGCCAGCTAAAAATCGTTTTCTCTTCTCTCGACAAATGACGGAAGACGCTAAGAAATTACGCGTAGAAGACCTTCCATCAGCCAATGGCCGATTTCAACATGGCGCGCTCATTCATTACAGGGACCGCCATGAGAGGCCGACACGGCACTTACCTGTTCGTACTCGTCCGTGATGGTCTTGGGCTCCTCGTGCCTCTGGAACCACATCATGTACTTGGTGTGGAACCTCCAGGACTGCTTTTTTAAGGCCTTGGCTGCCAGGTACTGTGCCTTGGATCCCTGATTGCACCCGAAACCCCCCCAACAAGAGGTGTCACAAAAACGCGCTACGCTACTCGCCACAACGTTACACTCACCTCCATGTAATAGAATACAAAAAAAAGCGTCTCGGTGGACAGCTTCTGGAAGAACTCCACCGTGTCGCAGTGAGGCAAGGTCTGTGGGTAGTAACTGGGCACCTGCGTCGGGTTCCGCGGAAGGTAAGGCCTGCAGGGAAGGCGCGCAGAACGTTGGACGGAGGGAGGCCACCCGAAATGTAGCTTCAGTTTCGTGTCAAACATTATCAACCATGCACTCTCTATTCTCAGTTGTACTAGCGTCCACTAATCACCTTGTCTCTCCCTACCAGACACCGTTGAACCCACTTACATCTACAAATGTTCAAGGAAAATGCTATTGTTATAAAATGGGTAGCATGGAAAAAAAAGCAAACAAACAAGGTGTGACAATGCCTAAAGGAGAGCAGTCGGGTCATGCACCTAAGCCGCTCGGAGTCCGACGGGTGGGGCATGTGCATGGAGGCCGCCTCCAGCAGCCGCAGCTGGTAGAAGCACTCCTTGGACAAAGGTGCGGGGCCTAAGGGGGCCACGCCTCTTAGGGGCGGGATGTGTGCCTCTGCCGTCGGTGCGGGTTGCTGCTGTTGCTGCTGCTGTGGCCGCGGAACTTCCTTGCTGCCCACGACGGACTCGAACATACCTGCAAAGTTGCAAAAGCATGCTTTGACGACAAATGCTGCATATGAAGAACTAAATTATGAAGAACTACACACATGGACATGAATTTGTCTCCCACCTTGACACAAATAATGAAGATACACTAGTACACTGTACTCCACATTTTCACAGTCAATCCTGAATATATCGAACTTTAAGGGGATCGCGAAATAGTTCCGTTATATTGATAAATTGAAGTACAAAATATGCACATTCAAGGTCTAAATTAAAGCATTTCAGGCCTCTGAAATCATTACAAGCGCTAACACAACAATTCACTCACAGTATAATGAAGAACAAGGTGTGAACTGCAAGATACCACATTTTATTTCGCACGAAAATAGTCCGTAAACTTGCCTTGCTCCTATCGTGGAGTCAAATTTCAGTCATTCTCAATATCACTGAAGCTTTTTAAATAAGCGAATTAAGCTCCTTCGGCCACAACAGCGTTTGATGCAGAAGGCCGATGCAAGCTTTAAAGCGGGGCAGCAGCGAAGGCTTTGCCATATTCATAACCGCATGGGTACACTTCCGTGGCATTGGCAACGGCAGCCATGATCTCAGCATTGATGCAGTCAGAAACAGCCATGTCGTCATCTCTACCGAAAAAGTCGTTCACTGTCCAAGATGGTTCCCAGAAACACGGATAAGTTGCACAACTCACTGACGCACCGCACGTCGTTGTCAGCAGTCACAATGCATCCGAAGTCGGCACACGGTCCGCAATGAAAGTTTACAACGGTGCTTTACTACACATGCCGCCAAGCGCCAGTCATAAATTCTATCGCTACGTGCGGGCCAACAATCTGCTCAACTCCCAAATGAGGATTTATCAGGAATGAGGCGAGAAGCACAAAAGTTCCCAAGGCACAAAAGAAGCACAAAAGTTCCCACAATATTCCCAACATCCCCATGTTTGCGATACCGATGCCACATGTAGCTTCGTCACAGGCACAGAAGCCGCTGCTTTCAGCTGCTTTGATGCGAAAAGCCAGAAAAAGCATAGCCTCCCAAACATGCGTTGTAAAACCGAAAACACTAAAAATACGTCACGAGGTTGCATAGCTCATAACTCATGCTTTTTAAAAGGCTCGCATGCCATTGTGCGCTAGCAAACAGGTAAGGGAATGTGAATATTGCAAGGAGATCGCCAACTCACTATGGCATTTTCATTTTGGTGTTCTCGGCATTTGGTCTTTTTGAAAATTACTTTGTATGTTAAAACCTGCAGATCGTACACCAAACATGCCGGCGCACTCGCGAGCGCCACGCAAATACAGATGGGAACTTGTAAGAACGGAGCCGAAAACTGATCAATAATTCCTAAGAAATATGCACTTTCAGGGCTTCGGCACGGCACAGCGTTCGATATAGCGGATGTCCCGCTGTGCGAGAGTTCGAAATACGGATGCGACAGTCCCACACTTTAGCATGGGGAATTCAACGACATTTCCCAACTGTTCAATATAGCAAATAATTCCATATATCTGGATTTGATATATCCGAGATCGCCTGTATTACGAACGCATTACTTTTAGATCGCAGATAAAGACTAAGACCAACTTCAGCAAATGATAAGAGTGAATTGTAAAAAAATTGTGCTAAATTTTACTTCTACATGCAACTAGCCCAATTTTGGTTCTTGAAGCATTTGTTCCTCTATGACTGTAACAAAGGAATTGAATAATCAGTTGCACCACTGTTTGCAGCGAATACTCGTCCACCAGTGGCCAATGTATGCATTATTAACAAAACTGTCAAGTACTCCACGAGAAGAACTCGCAAATACGGGATGCACATGCAATTTTCTGAAATCGCTTGGCAGGCAACACACGCAGCAGTCCGATATGCCAATTCAAATGTGATTAGGCCGGTTTTCTCGTACCAACGGAACAACCAATCAAAGATACCATTGCCTGCTCAGCAGAGGCTAGAGTTCTGTTTCGAGCATATAGTGCTGCGATTTATTTGAGAATCTTTTCTTTTTGTTCAACAGCGAAAGACGATATGAGATCACAAGGGTTGCATCTGCCCCTCGCTGCTGCTGCCGGTGTCCAAAAGCACTATAGCACGAAATAATTTTTAAAAACTGGGAAAATAAAAAACACCAAAGACGCAACAGAATTTTAACTCGGATACCCCTTATACCAGCCCAGTATTCTACCACAGAGTCACGCCGGTGCTTCAAACTTCATTGCAAAAACTGTCCTAAGCCAATCTTGATGTTGGGAAAGGAATCACATTATTAATAAAAATAAAGCATTTTAGAACAGCGAAAGGAACAACCCGGCGTCACACAGTGCGAATTGCGTAACGAGTGGGTTGTCGAATGCTCCAACCCATTACAAAAGCTTCAGGCACGATGCTTCGTCATCGTCAGTCACAGCGCGAAAAAACTGTCCAGGATTCCTCGCATGTGTGAAGCAGATGCCACGCTTCACAGAAGAGTGACAAAGGATGGTGTAGTAAATGCCTCCCCACTATACAAAAATTATGATGATTGATGGCGTAGTGGGTACCCTGCAAGTGTACTCATAGCAGACCAAAAGAGTTTTTAAAAAAGACTCTGATAGGCCGCTCTTCGAGCTTTCGCTGTGACTGTGCAGCGTGTTCAGCGCACACCTGGCTTTTTTTTTCATAAACTAAGCCTCCACTACCAAGGTGTCTTCAAGTACAAAAGCAAGAGCAAAAGCAAAGAAGAAAAAAAAAAGCCAAGCGGCGCCTCCATGTCTATGGCTATAAAAACGCACCGAGACATAGAAGAACAGTAATTAAACTCACTTCGCTCACACGACGATGACTGCACTTGCTGCTGTTGCTGCTGCTGCTGCTGCTGCTGCTGTTGTTGAAGTGTCTGAAGTGACTGCTGGAGCGAGGATTGTTGAAGCTGCTGCTGCTGCTGCTGCTGCTGTTGCTGCTGTTGCGATGATGGTGACTGTAGACGACCCTCGAGGCCAGCATTTAGTACCGCCTGCTCCGCTATAGACTTCAGCGACGACATGGAGTCCCCGCTCTGCGAACCACCCATGCAAACAACGCACATCAGCGAGGCAGGGGCGTCACTTAAAGAAATATCGAGACTTCATTGCGCAGAAGATGAAACAACACTTTTCAAACGGGCGAATGAAATTGAAGCGTCGACAACAAATGACCGTGGTACGTTTCCACAACAAGAAGTGTCGCGCACAGGTAATACGAAACATGTCACAATCACAGCTTTGTAGATGGCTGCTCTGGAGGGCGGTGCATCAGGAAACCTTAGCCAGAGCTGGTATTTTGCTAGTTATCATGGTTGACCTGAGAACTCCAGTGTACAGTAGAATCTCGATGATACAAACTTGAAAGGAGCACACAAAACATTCGTATCATCCCCAATTAGTATGAATCAAAAACAAGTTAAAGCTGATCATGAAGATGAACAAGAACTTCATTGGTGTCAACTACTACTTGCTGAAAAAAAGATGCCCATGATGTTCCTTTGAACTTTCCTGCTTTCATCGCCTCTCAATAAAGTGCTGGGGTTTCCCCACTCCTGCTGCGGGTGTCATACCGTATTTACTTGGCAATGATCGCACTCGCGTAATGATCGCACCCCTAAAATTTGTCGTCTAAGTTCGATCCCCCCCCCCCCCCCGTAATGATCGCACACCGAACTTGCCGCATCGATATGTCGTGTGCCAAGTCTAGCAGATGATCATCGCCCTTGTTATCTGTCGAATGTTGCGTTAATAACTCTTCAAAACTCGCCAACGGCACACACCAAACATATTCTTAATTTTTGCTCACCGTTGGCGGAAGCGTACCATTTAGGATTGCAGTAAGGGCAAATGCCGCAGTTTTCACTGAATGCCCGCCATGTGTTCTTATGTCTATGACTGCTGAACACGCCTATCATTGTCTCTGTAATCTGAAAGCAGGCATCAATCACTACGCTAATGCCGTAAATTTACTGATTTAAATGAAAGCATTGCTTATTTAGATGAAAGAAACTGTTTTGACACGCGTGCTCCATAATTGACGAAAAGAAGAAAAAAAATGCGGTCGCTTCGTTCCCTCAGCCGCCATGTTTGTTTTGGCATCCCGCACCGTTACAGCGGCGGCCGCCTGTTGGTCGACCTGTGTTCATCCCGCAGCACTGTTTTATTTTTTTCCCTGAGACCACGTTTTTGTGTGTGTGTGTGTGTGCGCGCGTGCGTGCGTGTGTGTGTGTGTGATCATCTGTTGAAGCGCCGTTCCACCATGGGGCGGTATGCGAGCTTTACTGCCAGGTTCAAGCTGAAGGCGCTTGACTGCACGCTAGAGCACGGCAACCGCGCTGCCGGCAGACATTTCGGAGTCGACAAAATCCGGATCCGATACTGGAAACTACTTTCGACGAGGTGTTCATCAAGAGCTTCAAAAAGACGGGCATTTCCAACGCGCTCGACGGAACGGAAGGTGGCCCTCTGTGGGACAGTGAAGACACTGCCGGTTCCGACACTGACGCTTCGGAGTCTGAATGAACGTTAGGAGGTCAGAGAGGTAAAAAATAAAAGGGCAGCATGCCATGCATGTAGCTCTTGCGTAATGCGTGCATTTTATTGCAAAGGTAAGCCTTAATTTACTTTATTTTTGGTTATGTTCATGATAGCTATCGTAAGAATTCTGATTAGCGACTTTTTTGCGTTTTCGGTATTCGGAATATTTTTTTCACGGAAAATTTACTGCGCGCAATGATCGCATCTAGAAGTTGGAGTCAATTTAAAAAAAAAAAAGTGCGATCATTATGCGAGCATATACGGTAAGACACGTTCACACTTGGCAACAAAGGGAGCGAAAGCGGCAAAACTTACTGAAAATTCACTCACTTCACTGCTAAAGCGGCTGGAAAAATGCGCCGCCACGTTGACACGAAAAAAAATCAGTCCCAGACAATTCACACTGGAGAATTCAAACAAAAACGCCAGAGCGGCCGTAAAACCACGTTCGCGCCTGTCAAAAAATGTTCACATTTGTTTCTTCACTGCTTGAATCTTCATTCCTGAGCAATATACTTCATACTGAGTTTTAGTTATGCATGCCAAGCACTGAAAAGAAACAGTTGACACCTTTACAAACGTGTCGCGCAATACGTCAGAAAAACCCCACGAGTGGAAGCACGAGTGGAAGCACCACTCGTGTGGTTTGTAAGCAAGAAGTTCGGGTACGGAAGGCTGTGGCGTATTAGAACTGTGAACTGTGGCGTTTTTGTAGAAGCCTGAAATCTCGCTAAATCTTTTCTCTTTCTTTCAGACACTTAGGGTGTGTTTCCTACGTAATCATTTAGCTACTGTGCAGATAAGGAACTGCAAATGCCAAAACAAGATCTGTCCAAAATTTGATTTTCTGAGCTATTCTCGCTATTTTCCCCAGGTCCCCCCTTCAATTATTTTCCATTTATGCTATACACTCAAAGCTCGATATAATGAACCCGAATATAACAAATCATCAGTTATAATAAAGTACTAAACGAAACTTAACTAAATGAAGAATAGTCATGCAATAGACAGTGCAATGAACACGGTGCAAATTTCGCATATAGCAAACTTATTTTCGTGTAATGCAACTTTGTTAAAATGAGGTTTGAGTGCAGTTACCACACTACAGTTAAGACATACAGATAATGTTCCGCATATGTTTCTTAGGCTCACGGAGAGGTCCCTTTGTTTCCTTGGAAGCCGACGAGTCACGCGGCGGTGACGGGTCATGAAAAGACAACAGAAAAGGAGGAGGACAGAACAGCCGGACTTTACCTTGTCGACCATGGGACCATTCATGTGCAGTATCGACGGCGCCGTGGGCGAGCTTGGCCGGCCTTGAGAACTCGCCAACGACGCGTACAAGGAAGCTGCCGCAGATGACACTGTGCTGCCGTGGTCCGCCAACGTCGGCCCGCTGTGCGCCAGTTGCTGTGACCCACTGCAGCACAGGATGCGCACGTCAACGCAACGAGTTGGGAGGACCAGCTGGTACGAATCCGGCACTTTTTCTTATAGCACAAAATGCAAGACAACTCAAGACGACACGGTCGGAACACTGTGGTTAAGAGCGACCTAAAGAATGTTTGTGCTTCCTGCCAGCAGGTTGAGTGGCTGAACACAGCAAAAAGGTGCAATTTGTCAGACATTGTTTAGACAGGCCACTATTTCGAAAACAGCAGCGACAGCACCGCCCAGGAATTATAGAAATCGTCTTTCACACAATCATTGGGATTACAGTACTTCAGTGTCTTTTCTTTACAATGTATAGCTCTGAATTTTTTTTTTCTTTTTGGATTCTGTATCACAAGCACACACACTAATGATCAAGTTTGTGTATCTGTCCTGTATAGAATGTAAAGTGACACAACAAGTGACGTCAGCTAAAAGTATTGCTTTTTCTGCTCGTCTGTTTTTGTGGTGTTCTGCGCTCAGAAAGCACTATACCGTATTTACTCGCGTAATTCTCGCACTTGCACAATTCTCGCACCCTTCACATCGCCCAACAAAAACACGATTTCTTTTTTTCCTCGAGTAATTATCGCACCCCCGAAAACTGCTGCAATAATGTTGCCTACTCTTTCCAGCCACATATGATGATAGCGCACGTCATCTGGCGCCATCTCTTAAGCATCAAGCGTACTATTGCACAGAGATTAAATCCAACTCAAGCCAAGCCGAAGTAGCCAGTGCGCGTTGCGGCTTGTTTTGTTTGTTGCGTCGGTAACCTTGTCAAGTTATGAGGCGATACTGAAGCTGTACGGCTGCTTTCAAGTTGCAAGTGATAGATAATGCACTAAAGAACGGCAACAGGGCCGCCGGTAGGCCCTTCGGAGCCTATGAGTTTTGTGTTCGCTACTGATGATGGCTGCTGAAAGCCACCAAGACGCGTTGGGCCTGCCGTGTGCCTAAAACTGGGATTGATGGTAAACTTTATTTCTTAAGAAGGAAACTGCGGACAATTCTGGTAAATAGCCATTAGCCCAATACTGACGTTCCATGCTTACATTTTGAGGGCTCCTATTCTGAATGCTACCGCTACACCCGCAACGTCCGCAAGCTTTGCGTATGGTATTCTAATTCTCGACTATTTGCTTCCACCTTTTGTGTCTCAATTACATCTTGTCTTGTGTTGAACCTCTGCTTTTATTGTTGAGGTAAGTTTTAATTAGTACTTCTTAAAGCTTGCCGTTAGTTGCTTGTGTGAGAATCCCGATTTGTGGCCACTTCGTTTTCTGTTTTCGCTCTATATGTTTTCGTAGAAAGTTTTCCCCGCGCAATTCTCGCACCCCCCAACTTTTTCATCGGTTTTCCAGCAAAAAAAGTGCGAGGATTATGAGAGTAAATACGGTAAATGTAGAGGCCTTTGGCTCAAGCACTAGAGACGCCACCAGAAGGAAGACTAATATTGAGCGCAGCATTCTAAATCGGTCATTTTAGCCACACTGCATTACCCAGCATAGGGCCTCGTGCAATCACTCCATAGAAGCCCCTTATTTCTTGCATACAACCAATGCAAAAATACAGAAAATCAGAAGCTCGTGATGAAAAATGAACTCCGATGTGCAAAGTGGCTTCACAGTTATACAAAAAATCTACACTTCAATTTCGATATTATGAATTTGGATATAAAATTATCGCTAATAACGAAGTGGAGAATAGCTTTGTAATTAGTGGTGTGCGAATATTCGAAAGTTTCAGATATTCGTCGAATATTAAATTCGCACTATTCGTATTCGATTCGAAAAAAGTGTATTCGAAAAGTTTGAATATTCGAATCACTTCAAATATTCGACAATATTGAATATTTGATTGGATTATCATGCGGAAAATAACTCTCCTTTAATATTTCCGCTGGGTTCAGAGATATTAAAACGTTGCCCAGAGGGGCGATAAGCGTCAGAAGTGCACGGAGGCACTATGTCGGCCAGCGACGTTCAACAATCAGCAGCAAAGTTGACGTTCGTGTAAATGTACTGCACGCTTTTCGTATGCTGCCGTAACGTGCTGCACTACCACACGTTCACTATGCGGGACCTCGTGTGCAGGAACGAAGCTTAATCGTTGCCGCGTTGTCTCATCAAAACATCGCTTGATAACGCACGACCGTGCACGCGCGTGCTAAAGCAGAAACTTCGTCACCGTCGGCAAACGCTTCGGTTAGAAAACATAATAAGTGACAAAAAGAGTTCTAGTGGTAATTTGTACCATGACGTCGCATTTATTTCCTTTTTCCAGGACGTTCCGCACGTGAGCAGTCGCACAGTTATACAACATGCTCGAAAGCGGTTAGTCCCAACTCGGGATTTTATTGCTAAGTTATGTCGTATTCCGGGCAAGTATGCGTTAAATAACTTGGACTGCATTCTAAACATATTGAATATATGAAACGGTAATCATGCACCGACCTTTCAGTTTTATATATCTGTATATGCATATAAATATTTTTCGTGCTGGCCACCAGAGCGCATGAGTAGTGGTAGTGCGCCATGTAGTGCACAGTGCTACGTTAGTAGGGTCAGCGGCGTTGGCTAGTGCTGTCAGCCACTACGATCAGTTCTGCTAGCTTGTGTGCAGTGCACATGGTGCGGTTTTGACGCGAGCCTTTGTAACCTGTGATGAACTGGCGTCGTTAATAAGTGCCATGGCAGATAGCGGAGGTTATGACGACTCGCCTGCGAAACGGAGGAACAATCAAGACACGGCGCCGAAACGAAGGGAAAGAAGCGCTATCTGGAAGCACTTTGTGAAGACATCGTCGGTGTTGGCGCAGTGCAAGACTTGCGGCGCAACACTTAAAACGCCGACGGGTCCTCTTGTTAACCATCTAAAACAGCACCCAACCGCAATGAAGGAGTACCGGATGACTGCAGCAGGTGCGCCAGAGAAAGACCAGTCAATGATATTTGATTTTGTGCACCGTACTGACCCTTTGTCGGAAAAGAAAACTCAACCACTCAATGCCAAGGTGGCTGCTATGGTAGCGCTTGATTTGCAACCATATAGTTTTGTTGAAGACCGCGTATTTAAGAAACTCATGGCAGAGGCTGTGCCTAACTATCGCCTACCGTCACGCACCACGCTTTCACGTACCCTTGTTCCGCGCTTGTTTGATGACACACGGAAGAAAGTGAAGGACGAGCTCAGCAGTGCTTTTGAAGGGGGAACATCTGCAGTCCCCTTTACCAGCGACGTGTGGACATCACGCACCAACGAGAGTTATGAGAGCTTCACTTGCCACCTTCTCACTCCAAGTTTTAGGATGAAGCGGTTAACGCTTAACACTCGCCACATGGAACTTGTTAGCCACTTCGCCGAAAAAATTGCGCAAATGCTTGTCGAGATGTGGGCGGAATGGGAAATACCGGATGGCTGCCGCAAATACATCGTCACAGATAACGGACGCAACATCCACGCCGCAGTCAGAAGGCTCCCGTGGACTGAGCGTGCGTATTTCGCCCACACCCTGCAGCTAGCAATTCACGATGCAATTTCCAACACACCGTCAATTGACCGTCTGTGCAAGAAAGCGAGGCACATTGTGGGCCACTATAAGCACAGCTCGTCTGCGTAAAAGAGATGAGTACCAGAAGAGGATAGACAAGGATCCACTTCGTCTGGTGCAAGATGTAGATACGAGGTGGAACAGCCGATACCTATTGCTGTCCGGCCTCTTAGACTTGAAGGAGGCTGTCTCTGTTGAGCTGGCAACGTCAAATTGCAGCATTGATGGTCTCTGCTCAGCAGAATGGAAAGAGGCTCTTGAATATCTGGACGCACTGAAGCCCTTATATGATGCAACTGTGATAACTAGCGCAGACAAATACCCATCACTTTCCACTCAGATACCAATTATTTTTGGTATGCTAAGTTGCCTCAACAACTTTAGCGGCACAAAAGGCTTTCATAAGGAACTGGCAAGGTCTCTCAATACCAGATCCCCCTTATATACCGAGGACAAAGAAGCATACTTGGCTATGTTTTTGGACCCACGCTTCAAGTCAACGGTATTCAGAAACAACAAACAAAAGTTGGTGTGGCTGAAAGATCTGGTGCTTCAGGATGTTGCCCTATGCCCTGCTGTGGAAGTCGTGCAGCCAGCAGCAAAAGTGCAGGAGCCACAACAGTGTGTGCAGCCATTCTGTGTTGTTTGGAGTGCATTTGATAATCTTGCAAATAGTCAAGTAGCAAGTACACCGCTGTCTACTTCGGAATGGGAAATTAAAGCATATTCTGAAGAAGTCCTACTGAAGAAAGACAGTGACCTATGTGACTGGTGGCAGACTGTGGGCACCTTCAGATACCCCAGTCTGGCAAAGCTTTGCCTCAAGTACTTGCCCATACCAGCCACTTCAGTTTCAAGCGAGCGTGCCTTTTCAGTGGCAGGGGAGGTTGTCTCTGTTCGGAGGGAGCGCCTCCTGCCTGATCATGTGGAGCAACTCATATTCCTCCATGATAACATGTCATTATGTTTCATGATAACAGCTAGTCATTACTTGCATTGTGTTCCAAATAACAACAGTGTATGTTGTGTTAACAGACAGGCTGTTGTGTATTTTTTTAGATAAATACATCTTAAATTATTGTTACTGTAGAGGCATTTGTCCTTTGATATTCGATATTCGATTCGATATTCGAACATGAATATTCGTATTCGATTCGTATTCGAAAAATTTCATATTCGCACACCCCTGTTTGTAATAGATAGTGTTATAAATCGTTTATAACAAATTTCTAGATATAACAAAGTATTTTCCTGGCAGATGTGACTGCAGCGTTCGTACAGGTTTCCAACGCAAAAATTCAAGGATATTCAAGGACTTTCCAGGACCTGTTGCAAGTTTTGCAAGGAATCAAAGTGGCATGCTAAGTTGGAATTTTTCACTCTAAAATTTTCAAAACTGACCAATTTTATTGCACTTACAATAAATATATGGTTACTGCAATTATGAAAAAAAAAATTGTAGTCTTGAAAACTTCTACAATTTTTATGGCTTGTGCGCTTTTTGCTGCAAGCTTTAATTACAGCTCCAGCAAGCACTATACACGCACCAAGATTTGTTCATACTTGCTAGATAACTTGTCGCCTCATTTTCATGAAGAATTCTCAGTTCCTGTTTGTGGGCGCCGAGTTGGGCAGGTACGTAGCAGTGTAGCTTAGTACATGATTACATGACTTAGTAACATGATTACAAAGCTTTGCACGCGACATGCTGAATATTGGCAGCTTTCGCACACATGTGCCACACAAGCACCTGCAAAACAAACACACCGCTAGCTGCAGCAGCCAGGATCCTTTGCCGGTGTGTACATGACGGAAGTCCGGGGTCACTCACCTGACCTACACATCTGGCATGACACCACTACAACTTTCGTTGCCCTTCCTCGCACTCGCGATGAGCCTCGAAAGGAGAATAAGCACTCAGGTGCACTTGGGAAGTGACTTAAAATGTAATCTAAACCTTTCTGAAGTCCGACGATTCATGTGGAGTGTCCTTGACTATATAGAGAAAACCCACGTGGTGCTTGCTATAGCCTTGATAGTACCACCCCATTAAGAGCGTTAGCTCAGTTAACACTTGCAGCACGTTGCTCAAACAACCAAAAAGTAACAACCGTGACAGTGGTTAGTTTACACTCATCCTGTGGATACATGTGTGTTCTTTTCTAGCATTCTTCTTGGTTTGTTTAAGCAGCACACTTCCAGTGTCGAGCTGTGACGGTTGTTCATCAGTACTCCTCCTGTGCGCTTTTTTTTCGTGCGTCGTCCCTTTTTGCTTGGCGGCGGCGCACTGCATGTATGGAGTTGCTTGCCCTTCTTCCCGTGACATCTTGCCATCGCATTCACTGCTTCACCCTTGCCACAAAACTAACGTTTTTTTTTTTGTTCACGAGCATTTTTGCAAAATGAGACCATGTGCACCCACGCCGCATTACTGCTTTGGGAACGAGAAGTTCGACAGGCGGGGGCAACACCGATCTACCACGTTTAGGAGGTCGTGATGTCGATGTGAGAGTGCATTACTCGCGAAAATTCAAGCGTTTTCAAGGCTAACAAAAAAACTTCAGGACTCTCAAGGCCAATCCTGGACTGTTATAATGAGGTTTTAAGGGCAGCTTCACGGCATTATGTGGCTTAAGGGGGACATCACACCGTATACAGTATAGACCACTTATAACGTAAGTCACGAATATCCTCACTATAACCAAAGCAACTATATCCAAGGGCTGAAGTTGCGCAAAATGTGTCGAGCATGCAGCCTCGCATGTCCGAAAATCGAAGCATGCGATTCGCGTGGTGCTTACTACCATTTACATTTCAGAATGTTAAAAGAAAAAAAAATTACCGACTAGAGAATGAATGCGAAAGGGGTGGGGGGCTGTCTAACAAAAGAAAGCAACATCCTGGAAATTTGCCGACTATTCCTCAGACAGCCTCGATTATGCCCATTACACACAAACTATTTCGAATCACGTTCGAAGTTCACGTTCTGAAAGACGTATGTGTGATCATCCCAGATTTCACGGGCGCGCACCCGATTTAAAGACATCGCAATCGAATCGCGAACCACCATTCGAATGCTATACATGCCGCCTTCTTCATTAACGATATGTATTCCCTTCCCTTGAAGTCCAGCCACCGCAAAGAGCTTCATCGATTCCGCCACACCAAACCACACCTTATATAGCACAGGACCGCTACTGAAGGCAACAAATGCTGACTACGCCTAGCCTGCCGTTCAGTATGCTGTCCCTGAAAGTCTGTCCAGAACATGAGGATCGGTTGTCGACAAGATCGCACTCGAGTACTGAACCATGAACAGCATGCATGATACCAAGTTTGCGGCCGAAAGACCAACGACGAAAACTCGCCAAGACTAAAACCGCGCACTGTCAATGAAGGCGAAAGCTTGGGTGATAAAGCCGTAAAAGCTTTCAAACTTACGCACCAGGTAGCCAACGTGATATTCGTAGCAAGCTCGATAGCAACGGCGCTTTTACAGACAGGAAACTCTTAAGCGCAGTTGACAAGGAAGGAATCGCACGTGTCATGTTGAGTTGCGCGCAGCCAGCAGCACCCGGCCGGAGCCCCGCTAGCAACGCTAGTATGCTGCGCCAGTGTCAATGCAAAGGGTTCCTGGGAAACCGCCCTCCTTCCTTACTCGGAGAGCGCGCATAGTGTGCCGTGGTCTTCCCCCCCCCCCCCCTTCACAACTCGCCTTTCTTTTGTTCACTCAGCGTCCCCACCTCTCCTGTAATGACCTCGTCGCTCGCTCCCCAGAGGAGCACCCAGTGTGCCTCCTTTCAGGGCACGTTCACTACTGCGTTTGTCACAACGATTTTCTGGCAACCGCATTATAACCTGATCTTTCATCTTGGGGAACTGCACAAAAAGCCGTATGCGTATACATGGGATTCTATGGGAGCTTAACGGGAGTCGGAAAAGACCGCATTGTAACCGGTGCTGCACTATATACAGTTACGTTATAAGTGGTCTACACTGTACAAAGACAATCTTACTGACCGATCAGAGGCCTGAAGCAATTTTATTTTATTTTTCTGCACATTTCACAGTGCATGACCGTGGGTGAAACATTATAGATATATATATATATTTTTTTTCACACTTCATAATAGCCCAGCGGCCTGCGACTAGACTGAAGGATCTCTCCATCTTTTTTTTTTTTTTCAGGAACGGCAATCCACCTTGAGTCAAGCCAGACCGAAAGCTCCTTGATTTTCAATTCTAGAATATTTTAATTGCCGTAGCCGAAAATGCAAGAGCCAGCAGCAGCAGGCGCACCTGTTGTTTGTGGTGGCATTGGTGCTGTTGTGCTGTGTGGGCGAGGGTGCCCGGTGGAAATGGCCCTGATGGTCCACGGTGGCCGCTCCGTCGATGGAGGGTGCCGTCGACGGCGGAGGGGAGGGCGTGCCTGGACAGACAAGAATCCCCGTCCGGTGACCAACCAGCCCCCGCGTTTCTCCCCAGACAGACAACCACCACCACTACCACCGACAACAACCGGCACAACAGGCCTACGCTACAGGGCCCGGCACCAAAGCCCACCGCCACTATGCAGCGCTACACCAAATCGAACCGACGTTTGGTGGAAGACGGAAGCTCGAAAAAGACACAAAGTCAGCAAACAACGGGCGTTACAGGTACAAACGTTTCGATAGCATTGCTCCCACTGCTCGCTCAATAACTTGTCTATGCAAGGTCGTGGTAGGACTACCATGCCATGGGACTAGGGCACGATACACAGGAAATCATAGTTAATTTGCCATGCATGCAAAATGAAGTCACTTCAATGAGAGGTTAGCCATTGGCTCGTCTCTTGGCCTAGCACAATATCAGATTCAAGAAGTACGTGCTCGGCAACAATCCTCTGTGGCACTTGCTCATGATTTACTGAGAAGACAAGAGTCTGGCAGCAGGCAAACCAATGGTGAAACGCCTCAGCGATCAGGAAGAGAATCCCAAACATGGGGTAAACAGAATTGTGGATTCGACGCACCGTCATGCCTATGATTATGTCGTGTCTACGACTAAAGAAAAAAAGAGAGTAGAAAGGATGTTACTATCCCACAATAAGCATGTGCATGCCTTTCCTTGCATTACCATCTTGTACCCAGCGCTCCCAGGTCACTAACGGCGTGCGTTTTGTCAGCGTGACATGGAGTTCTCGACAGGAAAGTGACGAGCACATGGGTTTTCAAGGAAGAAAATACATGCAAGCTAGCGTGCAAGGATACGTTGTTGCAGATGCCTAGTGAAAACTGAAGCAGCGATATTGCGACTTCACAAAAGCAACACTACAAAAACAACCACTAGCAAGCACACAGTTCTTTTCGTGTCGGCATCAGTATAATTACCAATTTATCGCAGTTACTGCAAATTTCTTCACACGACATTTTGAGACAGTCACTAAAGCTTTTGGCAATATACAGCGGTTGGACTACAGTAGCCAACTGATTTTTCAGACCTGGTGGGGACCGAACCGAACAACCAGAAAAATCTAACGGTCCGAAAAAATGGTCACGAAATAAAAAATTGACTTTCTGGGATCGAAATAAACAAAAAAAAAAAAATCCTCAATACTGCTGTGCTTCGTGTCGCCACGAAATTTGGTTATACTTGGGCTACAGCAACATTGCCAACTTTTTGGGATCAAAATAGTGCAATAAAATCCTTATAATGCCGTGCTTCGTGTTGTCGTTAGAATCGGTTATTACTTGGGCTACAGTAACATCGTCAGCGAGTTGGCAATCCCTGCCGGCGACTGTTGTGTGGAGCACAGCTGGTGGCTCCGTGGCATTGTAACCACAGCAGAGAACATGCGACAGGCATTACCATGCACCATGCACAAGACAACAAAAGGAAGGAGGGAAAAAAAAAAACTATTGACGTATTAATGACGACAATAGGGCCAACTGATAAAGAAAAAAAAGTTGCATCCCTTCAACAGTTGTGCCAGCCAACGAAGATTGGACACAGCCTCTGAAACTGCACACTTGTGCGTGCTTCCAATCTTGGAGGCCAGACAACTAGCCATTAGAAGCCCAACTTGACTCAGCTAACGCAAGATCCAACATAGCAGCTTCAAAAAGGACGAGCTTGGCTCAAAACGAGCTGATTTAGTACGGAAAACCAAACTTTAGGGCATAGGTGCGTCTGAAAAAAAAAAAAAAATTCGGTCGCAAAAATAGATTTGTGGTACGGGAACCTTGACGGTGCATTTATGAAGTTAAAAAAATAATCAGTCGGCGAGTGTTCGAAAGAACATGCCCCGCATGAACATTGCAATCTGACAGTGAGAACAGAACGGAAAGCATTGAAGCTCACTCACCTTTGGCATTCGCTGCCGCTGCAACGGCATAGGGCGTTAGTGGTGGAGATACCACCGCATGATTTTGATGGGAGTTGACTGATGGCGAACTGTTACTGCTGCTCTGTGACGATGTGCTGAAAGAGAATATTAAGAAAGAAAGCAACGTCACCGCAAAGGGAACGCCTCGGTAACAACAGTGACAGTGTCGACCGCCTTGAGTTCTTTAAACAAGCGGTCAACGTTGGTTACGTCTGCGAGCGACTGCGAGTCTACCAGAAAGGCGCTTGGCTACTCATCTGCGGCATGTTTCCAGAATGAACTAAAGACGTCGCACTACGTAACTGTGCTGCAGCAGCCTGGACAATGCGTATAAGTTAGTACTACGAGCAGACTTTTGTAATGTGAAGCGACGAATTTCGCGGCCATGCTCTAACCCAAAGTCTCTGATTTTACGTTGCACTTTCCCCTGCATAACTCGCCCCTGTGTACAACCCATTACCCTCAATATTAGAACAAAATAATCGCGCATACTGCCGTGAAATGATCTTCCTGGCATTACCGTGAAGCATTGCTGTAAGGCTCCCTTCTGCACTGAAATTTAAGGATAACTAGCAGTCATGCATTACTTCAAGACTTTCTCTATTTTTGTGCATCTCGTATGTGAGAAAATTTAGTCTTTTATCAACAGTGACAAAACTCTCCAGAAAGATGCACTTAGCGATGTGTCGTTTCACTAATAACAGTCATTGACAATCAGCACAATCCTATTCATTGACAAGCTACACCATGCCTGTACAAACAGTAGTTTAGCCGCTCGTCAATCGCAAAAACACGACTTCAAGCAAACTACGGCCCCCACCTGTTGTTCCGAGAGGTGATGGGTGCCGGTGCCTTGCTGTTGACCGTCGCGTTGACGACGCCGGAGTTGGCCACCACACTCCGCGCCGTTTTGACCACTTGACTGCTCTGCTGGAAGAGGGAAGGAGGGCAACGGCAACACTTACGCACGACACTCTCCGCAAAGCCTTCATCTCTCACAAGGTGCGAGACTGGAGATTGAGAATTGGGGATTAGCATTGGTGATCGACAATCATTTGGAGACTGACGGTTGGCTACTCACAAACAACAATTGGCGATTGACATTTGACTATTGACAACTGGCAAATGACAACAGAACACTTCTTAAACAAATGTGACATCAGCTGCAGCACCTAGCAACACACCGTCCACAAAGTGAGGGAACTTGCTCAGTGAAGTAAATGGTGTCGTATTTAGAAACACTGGACATGAAAGATATAAATGTCCACAAGACGCTACTGCATTTAAAAACAACACACCGTGATGAGATGATTTCTACACACAAAGACAACTTGCTGTGGCAATGAAGGGAAGGCTACGGAGCCAAAACGGTCGTGTGCTACCGCTGTAGAATATGGTGCCACAAATGTGCCCATGTTTTCTGTGTGTAAATAATAAAGAACAATATCACTTTCTACTGGACGCTGTTTATAAAGCGACGCCGCGCACACCAGCTAGATATTCATATTTGCTGTTGCGCCTCCTAAAAAGTCATTTTGCGTTTTTGAGCGTCCGAAAACGTCGTACATTTTACGTGCACCTCACAGCCGAAACGACGTCTTCAGCTGAGCGCGCCACTTTCCAGCTACACGGACGACTTGCCGAAAGAGCTTGAGTCGAATGTCACTCATGAGTGGCTGTGTAAGCAGATGTATCAAATAGGGTGCAGTGGGATTACCCGAACATGGCCGTCATTCGAAACGCGAGATGAACCAGACTACTTCGCAGAGGGTACAGGAGCAGTAGCTTCGCCCCCATAACTTTCCCTTCATTGCCCCAGAAAGTTGTGCCGAGTGTACATCTAATGTCATTGAACTTCAGCATAAAAAAAATGAAACATAAAGAAATGAAGCAGAGCACATGAAAGAATCAGATTGCTGACTGAACATCAGCAATAGCTCCGGAACTGTCAAACAAGTGCAGCGGCATCAGCAAAAACGTGCAAAGTGCAAGAACCTCTGGAGACACACGCGCCATCAATGCCAGCGTAGCAGCGCACCTCACTGGACCTGGAATGATTGGTGAGCCCTGGGCTAGGCACCGGTGAGCTCGAGTTGGTGGAGGCGGGCGTTTCCGCACCCGGCACTTCGTCGTTGGCATTGGGCGTCGCGGAGTCCAGGATGCAGTTGTCCGCGTGCTCGAGGCCTGTCGTGGCTGCACTCGCCTTGGTCAGGAAGTCCGCCATGTCCCGCAGGTCTAGGTCATCGTACAGGAACTCGTTCTCCTCAAAGTCCGGGTCCTGCGAACGATTTGGTTTGTAGATTTTGATGCCATCTCGGTCACACCCTCACAAGCCGCAACGAACCTCAAGGAAGCGCTTAGCCATAACATGTCCTTCACACAGGTACTTTTTAAAAGATTACCAACACTACATTTTCCAGTTGCCTTTCTTTCTCAGGATACTAAAACGCAAAAATTTTGGTGTCTGTCTTTCTGTCACACCAGTGGTTTTCAGTCATGGATGTGTCGGGGACCCCTTGCAGACTAATAGAAGTGATGAGGGACCCCTTGCAGCAGAGGGGAAGGTGGAGGTGTAGGTAGGTAGATAAACATAAATGGAGCATGGAACAGATGCTTTTTATTGCTACCAAAAAAACAAAAAACGTGCCATATCACTTCATTTTGGACAGTTCATGAAAGGTCATGAACAGACTTGCCCATCTGCAGGCACATTCAACCTGTTTCGGTATTTATTTGAGTCACGGTCGAACTAAACTCCGAAAAATTTGAAAAAAAAAAAAAAAAAGAAACGGTTGAATGTTTCGCGGATCATAGAATTGGCTTCGCGGTCCACGGACCCCCATTTGAAAACCGATGCGTCACACGATTCAGCCACCTGGTACAAGGTTTAAGCACTTGCTGAATGCCCAGCCATCTTGAATTGGTGGAAGCGTTCGTACTTATGAACATTGTCAATCAAAAAGTAAATATTACCGATATCTGAGGTGCAACACTAATACGTACGTATTAGGAGGTTTGTTCCTAGACAGTACATAGATACGCAATTCTAATGTCCCCAGTGATTCTTAGGCTGCGTTGAAAATGCGACGCTATGTACAAAACAAGGCCGGCAGAATGCTATCATCTTTTGTTGTCATTTGCAATGAAGCACGCAGATACGCAGCCAATTTTGAGACTCAGTTGTCTTTCTGGGTCAAAACGAAAGGCCATACTTCTGATAGTCCTGAAAATGTACTGCCCCCTCAAATAATTTTTTTGAGTGCACCCTCAAAAAATTATTTACAGTAAGCTTTCAAGAGCTAGTTCCAGTTCCTACTGTACCCCAACATCAGAACACAGTACGAGCCCCTCTTTCCGTGCTCGCGCAAGGTACTGTGACATTTCTACTGCCACTGTGCTTCATTGCGAGCTATTGACCCACAAGCGGTCATTTTGAATGTTAGTGACATACAAGCAGCCTTATTGAATGTTTTGGTGGCTGACGTCACTACAATTACCCATACTGGTGCGCTAAGCCGTCAGAATGTAAAACTGCACCCTAACGTCCTGCTAGTGTCGCTGTCAGTTGGTACGCCATACCTAAACCGGCTTCAATGTCAAAATAAAACATTGCAGCTTCACACTTGTGCAGAGCCGTCTCTAAGAAAACGAGATTTGTATGGCCTCTTATAAGCAGGGCCCCACATTCTCGACTTCTGATCAGCTCCCATTTCTGTGTGCGTACACTGGTGTTTCTTACGCCTCACTGTATCCTACGACACAACAGTGTCTCTTATAAAGAAGCTTGACTGTTACTGAAATTGGCAAACAAAAATTCATAAGCTCATATGAGTTTTCTATAAAAATTCATCAAAAATCCAACATGTCGGCCCACCTACCCACTAAGCAAAATCCAATGCAGAGGATTCTGAATGAGGCAACACCCACCTGACAAGACTCGATGTAGTACTCGACATCCTCCTTGATCTTCTTGATCTTGCACACCTCGACCGTGCCGTTGTCCAACATCCTCATTAGGGTCTCGAGCTGCAGGATGTGGTACCGATGCCTCGACAGCAGCGTCTTAAGCTCGTCTACTCGGTCCTGCAAACCACGGCGCAACCAATGCGAAAGAAGCCTCGTAGCCAGACAACGCAGGCCCCCAGTACAAGGGGGCTACCCATTAAAACAATGACTTCACAATGACCTTTGACGGGGTTTCACTGGGATGGCGGCAGTGTTACCCGAAGACGGCTACAACTTTAGACGGCAGCCCCGTTTCAACGTCAAACGTGGATTCACACAGGCCTGCGAAAACGAGTACGTGCTCAGGGCTGACCTCATGGGCTGCCTGGTGGTCGACTTCGCGATCGCAGAACGTTTCCAGCTACATGAGCTAAGCTATTTCCTCAGCCAAGGACGTCATTGGCTGCCACAATTCGGTAAGCTGAGAGGTGCCTCTCCTGCCTGAAGTCATACCCGATTGTAGAGCTCCGCACTTTTTGAACTACTGCTACACCTGCAAGTAGAGTCTTTATCTTGGCAAGAACTTGATAGCAATGTTGCAGGTGTTTGACAAATGACAATGCCGCCACCGCCACAGTTTGTTGTTCACCTTTGCTTCCCTCCCAATCAGCCCTTCCTCTGTTCTCAAAAAACTTTTCGACACCTCCGTGCCAGATAAAGACTGCTTCTCAGCCTACCTTAAACCATTTAAAGCTTCGCAAAGTGTCCAGGTGGCATGCACGACAGGTGGGTGTAATGAGTGCAGCGTGTGGTCGAAGTGTGTGCCTTTCAAAACTGCATGACACGTAAAGAAACAAGGAATGCAAACGTGAAAGCAAGCTTGGTAGAAGAGGACGATGATGAAGATCCTCACGAGGGAGTGTGGCACAAAGAATCTACGTAAGAACGGCCCAATGAGAAAACACCACAGAACATCTCGGGGGTTCAATCCCCTGACAACACCAAGGTTCAGAGGTATCTAGTCTGGTAAGAACAAGTGGGCCTGAGGGCCAGAAAAAGCCTAGGCTGAAGAAGAGGGGTTCGAGGAGAACGAGATGAAAAGAACATCGTTACTGGGTCAAGCGTTGACGTAGGAAGCGGACCATGGCCACAAGGACCAGGGCCACAAGGACTTGAACCAGCCGGGACCACCTACTGTCTCGCTCCCGCTCTAGAGGACCGTAGCCATGGTATGCAGACTCCACTCCAACGCCAGCGGACTTCGGTACCGGCATGCAAGCAGCAGCAGTTGGGCCACGGGCACAAGCTGTGCGTCAACGCCTGGCCCAATTGCCTCTGGCTTTTCGACGCGTTGTCCAGCAGCCACCGAAACCTCATCGTTACCAGCCAGCCCTCATCCGCACCACAAGCCTGAGCCTCGATGTTCTGGTTTCGTAAACATTGCCGATCCCTCAACGAAAGGGCGAGAATCGCCACGATTTCTGATTCTGCTTAGTCATTCATCCGGGTTTGAACTCTACTGAGTACTTTAGGTCTTTGAACTTGCACTTTTATTGACAGAAGTGTTTTACCGTGTTTAGTAAACTTTTTAACGAGTGATATAGTGTGGATGTTTGTCGCTTAAATTTTAATTGAACATTTTGTGTGGTTTTTGTCAAACCAATGGCTTGGTTTTTAATTAAAGTCAAAATGGTTGATTGGGCGAGTTGGTGATACATGACTAATTATGAAATGGAAGCGCACAACGTAGAAGCAGACGGAAAGACAGGGACAAGCGCTAACTACCAACTGAAAGTTTATTCGGAAAAATATGAAATATATACAAAAAGATGATACAGTGTCAAGGCACATACGATAACACCAAAGCATAGACCAAAAATGGCAACACCGATAGAATATCTTAGTGCGTCAGCCCTACCTTACCATCGCTTACTGTGCTTTACATTGATTAGTTAACTTCTACGGCATCTGCTAATGTTTAAAAACGCTAAGGAGCTAGCGTTTTTAGTTTTAGCGTTAGCGCTAAGGAGCTAGCTCCTTATCGGCTAACGTCCGATAAGGAGCTAGCGTTTTTAAACATTAGCAGATGCCGTAGAAGTTAACTAATCAATGTAAAGCACAGTAAGCGATGGTAAGGTAGGGCTGACGCACTAAGATATTCTATCGGTGTTGCCATTTTTGGTCTATGCTTTGGTGTTATCGTATGTGCCTTGACACTGTATCATCTTTTTGTATATATTTCATATTTTTCCGAATAAACTTTCAGTTGGTAGTTAGCGCTTGTCCCTGTCTTTCCGTCTGCTTCTACGTTGTGCGCTTCCATTTCATATTTAATTAAAGGTCTCGGAGGCATAGCCCCCCGAGAGCTAACACACTCAAACCTCGATATAATGAATTCGAACATACCGAAATATCGGTTATAACAATGTAAATGAAAAATAGTTTCGCGATAGATTTAGTGGTAAGAATAAACCTTTATGGCGAATTTTCGGATATAACAAACTTGTTTTCATGCAAGATGCAAGTTTGTTATAATGAGGTTCGAGTGTACAGAGAAGAAAAAGAACCGGCACCGCAGTGAGGCCACCCTCCGCAATTGAACACGTCCCTGGTTTGTCGAATGTTGGCACTCTCGTCTCTTGTTGACCAACAGACATCTTTAAACCTGGCTACATCCTACAAAGCACACTTCTAGATTGTGATAACCGACAGCGATAAGGAAAATGCACGAAGAGCAGTACGAGTGCGTGTTTAGACTTTGTGGCTTCCCTGCAATTAATGGTAGCTCCGCATTCATGCAAAGACAATCTTCACGGTGTGCAGTAGGCAACAGGGAGCACCTGTTCAGAATGCGTAGAGATATTGAGTAGGAAATCAGCCCCTCCCCTTGTTAGCACCGTCACCGCCCGCTTTACCGTTCTTTGCTCACGCGGCACGAGCGCCTGATGGCGGCGAGAGGTGGCGCCCCGCTCACCTGGTTGTCGTTTTTCTTCTTCTTGACGCCAATAGTTAGGGACTCGAGCTCGCTCTCGAATTGGTCGACGTGGATGTTGAGCGAGGCGATGGAGTTGGAGAGCCAGATGGTGATGTCCTCCTTCTCCTTCTGGGCGGGGTCCACCTTCTGCGCACCGCCCAGGCCTTCCTTCGAGTACGCCTTGGTCTTCGTCTCCCGCTCGACCACCTTGAACCTCTCCATTTGCTGAAACGCAGAGAAGGGAAATGTTGCGTCACACGGCATCCAGTCATGTCACTGGAGGTGCGATGCATGACAATATGCTTGGTTAACTTTTCGGTTGCATAATGGTTATGCAACTGAACTTACATACTAGTTAACATGGTTAAACACTTTGCTGTTTTGGTGACAGCATGCACTGCACAAGTGTTTCAGATAGTTTTCTTCCTCATACAGACACACGCTTGTGTCACTCGTCTTGATAATTGTTAGGGTTTCCTGTCCTAAGACCACAACATGATTATGAGAAATGACGCAGCGGGCGGCTCCGGAAATTAGGACCACCTAGGGTTCTTTAACATGCACCTAAATATAAGTACACGGACCTCAGGCACTTTAGCCTCCATGGAAAACTCAACCGCGGCAGCGAAGATTTGTTCCCGCGTCCTGCGGGTCAGCAGCCGAGTGCCTTAGCCACTAGAACACAGTGGTGGATGTGTCGTTTGGTTTAGGTAAAAAAAGAATGTTAAGGGCGAGTTTCCTTTAATAGGGAGAATGTCGATAAGAACTGAAAAACCATTAAGCCATGCACAGCGTAGGGAACCATATTTATAGTAATTGAAGAAATGTGAATAAATTGGGGTGGACAAAAAAAAAAACAAATTTCCAAATGCAGGGATCGATTCCACAACCTTGAAAAATGCGTCTGACGCTTTACCTGTTGAGCTTTAGGTCAAACTTCTAGGCTGGAAAAATAAATGTCTCGGCAACTTTTTTCAGGGACTCCTGCGCTGCTCCTCAGCCTAATGTAACATTTCAAATGTTATGTTTCTCGGCTAATGTGAGTACCCCTAGTACTCACATTAGCCGAAAAAAAAGAATTTAAGTTCAAGTGGAAACATGCTGCCAAGATGGTCCTTCACAGCCGAAGGGCAGACGTGCCATCGTGCTCTAAGAGAAGCTTACACTTTCTTTTTCAAGGTTGTAATCGAGTGTGAACTCCTTTTAAATTCGGGGAGTTCATTCGCACCGACCAAGGGCAAAGTGTCATGTGGCCGTTCTAAAGCAAAGACTGAAAAGCGGCTTGCAGCAACGAATGCTCGCAACAGTCAGTAAAATGCACCTGCAGCTAAACTGAAATTAATTGAGGGATGTGCCATTCAGAGTCACCTTGTGCCGTCTCACAAGTCATGTGAACACCCGACCGGTGCACAATGTATGGAACAGAGAGAACCTTCGTAAGAACTGAGAACCTGCATAAACTTGAGACAGATTATCCAACCCCCAACCTGCAATCATAACCCGGTGTCCCAGCCTTTCCTTTATATGAGCATTGTTCTGAATATAAACTTTAGTTGTTAGCCTGCGCCTGTCTGTGCTCTCTTCTTTTCTGTCCATGTTTTTTTTTGAGCAAAATGCCATACACAATGCGATATCAAGTAACGAGTAACTGACCCAAAACTGTCGCTGTTCAATAAAGTAGACCATTCGCAACTAGGTACGGCCGGCTTTCTTGTGACTAACCTGATCGCATAACTGATGACAATCACAGAACCGCCAGAGCGAATCCGCCTCATCCACTACACTTAAAGGAATATTGACAAAACTTCCCGGCCGAGATAATTCGCGGGGTCGATTCTCGTGAACATTCGTACATCACCTGCAAAGTATCAACAGCGAATGTAGCTTGGAAGGTATTTTAAATTAATTTTGAAGTTTGTCGAGTGCTTGACTGTCGTGCCATTGACACCCTCGAAGGGGACCCTTTGAGGACCCCCTACTTCCCTTACGTCACCACTCTGCAGTCATTAAAACAAGTTATGATGACGTCACAGCCGCCATTTTTCTTTTGCCCAGTCCTGTTCTCGCAGTCTATACTTCTCGGCGGCCTGTAGCGCGTGCCTGGCAGCTGAGCACGCTTTGGAAGTGTTTGTGTCTGGGGACACCGCAGTCCCGTTTCCCATTTGAAAGTAATTCTTGATGCGGACCGTACGGAAGCACTGTCACAGTTCTGTGAGTCGACATGGTCGAGAGCTGCACACACTAGGTTGCGATACTTGCACCCGACACCTTCTCGTTTTGGGAGCTCTCTGAAACCGAAACTGGTCGATAATGAAGGGCCTGTAATTAATTATCTGTCACATGGTAAAGCAAGAAATGTCGTGTTATGACTAACAAGCCCCCAGCAACACATTGCAACAATAAAAAAAAAAATGCGAGGCCAGAGATTTTAGTGTCAGTACCCCCTTTAAAGGTGCTACCCGATAACACCTTTCCAAGTAATCGTAGAATGGCTTTATTAAAGGAGTGCGTTGTTTCACGAATCATATGCCACAAAAGAAACTTCAGAAGCGGCGAGCATGAGCAGAGTTGAACAGATTTGTCAAAGGCTTCAATGAGAGGGTGGTGGGATACGACAAGGGGGCAAGAAGATGCATTTGTTTGTCAGTGCGTGTCATGACCATTGAGCACTTTCATTTCCTTTTTTTTTTCTTCTCCTTAGAATGTGTGGCTTACTTATAATGTGATCGCGAGTGTAAGTGTATATATGGCAGCCTTTTTGCAGCAGTTTCAGAAACTAGTATGCAGCTGACGATGCTGAAATCAGCCAATGGCTGTGGACCTTGAGTTAGAGGTGCAGTCGTTTAGGTTTATGACATCACTCGGTTGAGAGCAGAGTGGACAATTTCTAGCCGACTGAAAATTAATTGTAAAGTCGCGGCCGCGTCCTGCGCTATAATGTTTGGTTTGCACGTTCTCAAGAGCCTCGACTATTATCCGTCAGTGACTTCTGATTTTGCTCAAAAAGGGTTACAGAGGGTGTTTTAGAACCAGGCTAAAAACGTGTTGCAGGGACCGACCCTATTATTTGGCATCTTTTTTTTTTTCTTTTTTTTTTCTTGATTGATTGATTGATATGTGGGGTTTAACATCCCAAAACCACCATATGATTATGAGAGACGTCGTAGTGGAGGGCTCCGGAAATTTCGACTTTTTTTTTTCTGTTGCAGTGAGTAGCCAACTACCCATTTATGCGGAGCGACTTGTTGGGCAAGTTGATTCACTCATAACCTAGCTTTTGGCACGAAATAAACACGAGAAACGGACAAGTGCAATCAGTCTCTCGTGCTTATTTAGCGCCAAAAGCTACGTTAAGACTACCCATTTGTCCCTGCTGAAAAGCTCGTCTGCTCGAGCACATGACTGTTAATTATTTAAAGACAGTTTGGTAGAACCAAGTTACAGGTTTCGGCCTTGGAAAGCACGTGGTGAGGCAGCGTGGTTCTCGTGTAAACCTAGCTGGCTTCAACGGGCTCGCAAAAGCACGTGCAAATGAAACCTGCGTTGACAGCTCTCTTCAGCAAGGACTTCCTGAGAGCTGCTACAAAGAAAGATCTCCGAGGTGTTGTAAACATGCGTACCCTCCACAAGCAGAGCAAGAGAAAGAGAGCACTGCTGAGGCAAGGACATCAGCCTTGGCATGCAATAGTACAAGTATGCCCCCTCTTTTTGTTAACAGGCCTGCTAGGTGAGGGTACTTGCCAGTCGTGGCAGCCAACACAAGCTCGTCTTACAGACGGCGGATGATTGTTCACACGACCACCAAAGGCACGATTCGCTTGCAGTGGTCTAACACACACAGACTTTTAAAATTGATTTTAAGTAAGTTCTACACTATATCATTCGTTGATATTTCGTAGATGGTGCGCGAATGTCTCCATCCCACAAGTTATCCCTCTATTTCAAGATTTTTGTGTCAGTACACCTCTAAACAAGGAAGGCCAAAACTCTAAGCAATCTTTTTCTCGAATTCCCACCTCTATTTGTTCGGCTCGCAACTATACTTATTACGTAATAAATTCCAAGGCACACCTTGCTTACTTCAAAAACAAGCTTATTAAAGTCACCATCGGCTGTCAACGACTACCGTTAAAGCTGGTCGCCACAGCTGTTCTACTGGTAAATTCGTTGTAGCACAAGCCACACTGACACAAAAGCCCAGAAGAGAGTTGCGCACAGGTAACGTAACACCCCACATGCGTATAACAACAAAATATAACCACACGTTGACAAATAACATGTGTTATAACACTCTCACATAGCAAACTTAAATGTCGTTTACCGCAAATAATATCTTATAGCTATGTAACAAGAAAAAAAAAAACTAATTGCTCTCTAATAAACATTTCTTAGAAGGAGTCTTTCTATCAGATTTGAGAACGAATGCATAGGATAAACGCTAGAAATGTAGGAATAATGCTGACTCATCTTGACATCTGTAACTGAAAGATCATTACGCTATAACAATCTCTCATTGTTTACATGCTCAATCAAGTTGTCAGCCATGCCATTGTTTAAACAAGTCTGACTTTACTTGGTTTACGATGTGCGACTGTCACAGGTGTTGTAGAACAGCTTAGCGTATCTTTCTAAAGCCACCTTCTTCATACCATTATTTCAAAAAACATACACGACAAATGCAAGCTCTGGTAAACTTACTTGCTTTTATCAAGGTTGTGGCACAAAACACATTGCCAAATGAGTGTTAGCAGTTGTCTTGTGACATCAAACAGGAAAAAAATGAAAAAGATGACATTATGTTCACTTAAGAAGAAACATGACAATTTAAATATATTTTTTATTTATAGATTATTTTCATTAAACTTGCCAACTTTGTGCATATTTCTGTACCCATTTAAAATGTGCATCTATTTTTATGATATAGTATGTAGTCCTACAATATACACATAAGTGTACGTATGTTTTAAATGAGAACTGTATGCAATAAAACAAGAATCGTGTTCTATACCCATCCGGACAATAGTTATAATACAGTGAACATTCGCAAGCAAAATCCCAGCAGCTTGACACTGACTGGCTAGCAGATGTTCAACATGTAAGCATTGTTCAAATGGGCTTAGAACATCCATTGTCATTTTACAGCATACAGTACCGATTTTATATCATTGTGATATAGTGAATCACTTAGTAACTCTTTTGGTTTAGGAAAAACCTTGCTCCTTGAAGGACACACGAAAAGTGCCGCACACTAAAAACAATAGGTTTTACTAAAGAAATAATTGCATATTTGAGATCAGCCAGCAAATATACGTATAAACTTAGCAGGTTTCAACTATTAAAAAAAATGTTTAGAAGCCATCAGTCGCATTCAACAAAAATTACATTATACTACATTTGCCATGTGACAGCGGCATCAGCATTCTATGTCCCTTTGTAGTGCCCCTTTCCGAGTAGCATGACAAATACCTCTTTAATTAATTGGTTGTTAGAGTTCTCACCGTCTCTATCAACTTCCGGTTATCCATAAGAATCCGCTTGTCCTTGATCTCGCTAGACGCCATCCATGTTTTAATTTGGTCTCGTAACCTCTGCATAGACCACACAACAAGAGCAAACCTTAACCCTGAAGCACACAGCCAAAAAGGCGGCCACCATCAAAAGTGGCAAGATGAAACAGTAACAGTTTTCACTCGCTCCTAGATCATTACTTTTATATATATATGGGATATGGCACAACGGGAGCGTTGTCAACAAGGATAAATATATTTATTTCCCAACAGTTTCGGGAGGGGTCCTCCCCTGATGAAGGGAGGACCCCTCCCGAAACTGTTGCGAAATAAATATATTTATCCTTGTTGACAACGCTCCCATTGTGCCATATCCCATACCTTCACGAAGACTAACTGGCCCATTGAATTATTACTCCCACTATATATATATATATCGCCACAACATTCGTTTTTTACAAAACAGCACTAAGAAGGGCAGACAAGAAAAGAGAAAACGCATGAACACAATGGAATGGGTGTCGGACACTTATTCGTTACCCCTAGAGCAAATGTCGGAAAGACTAACACGCAGAGTACGAAGTAGGCTTGGAAAGCAAGAACCACAAAGGCAGACGGCAAAGGCATATGACACACACTGGCTATCTGTGTGCCTCTGAAATGTGCCTTTTTTGTTCGTGCCCGGTTCATGCTTTTTTTAATGCAATTGTGGGTTACGTGAACGTTCCCACAAGTCCACTGCGTGAACTTGCAGGAAGTATTACTATTTACAGAAAAAAAAAAAGTGCACAATGCCAAAAAATAGAGCAACCAGTATGGTACCATCAAGCACTACCCATATCACTTCCTTTCTGCTGCCCAAAAATTTTTCTTCACAAATTACAACGTAATAAGCATTTAGAAATGCATACGAAATCGATACGACCTAAAATCGTTTGAGAAATTTTTCCCAATTAAAAAAAATTGCAAACCACAATCCACTTGTGTATCTTTCATAAATTACCTTTAATATTTTCTTTACACTAAACTGCGACATTATTGAAAGTAGGAGACAGCTTGAAATTCATGTTAACGTCCAGTACACGCAAGACACCGACCCCGTGCCAACTAACTTTCCAAGAGCAACTGTTCACTAGCACCAGTGCTGTTAGGAATCGCAATGAATGCCGGTCATTTTCAAAAGGATTAGCACTAACAATGCACTGACTGCATTGAGCTTGAGACAAAAACAATGATAAAATGACAATATAAAATGTTTCAAAGCCTCAACGCATGAGTCTCTTTGGCTACAGACCAAAAAGCTGAGCCATGAGAGGCAAAAGTCAGCCAAGCATACGAAATTAGTCATGCAAACACGACAACATGGCAGCATTACAATGTGCTACAGTTTAACAATAAAGCTAATACAAGCAGTTTTTTTCTAGTCTCGTTATATTACATAAGCGAAAAGCATGCTATTTATGCCAGCTATGTAAGAATGCTGCATTTGTAATAACCCGTAGTGCAAAAATAATTTTGCAAGGATTCAAAATTCGAGCTGACACACTTTGTTTTCTTTCTCAGAGCTCCAAAGTGAAAAAAAAAAAAAAAACATGGTATGAAGCATCCGTTCACAGTGCCAGTGTACAAGCTTGCATTTATGAATACATCACCAATGTAAAATACCATTAACTACACTCAAGCCTCATTACAACAAGGTTGCATCTTGACGAAAATAAGTTTGTTAAATCCATAAATTCATTATAACCATTTATTCCTGACACTGTATCCATTGCAAGACTATTTTTCATTTACTTCGTTATAAAGATAATTCATTCTATCCGTATTCATGTTCGCACATACACTTTCGTGTACATTTTTTATCTCACTGCACACTATGTGAGACAGGCAACTGCTGGCTTGTTGGAACAATAGAATCGATACGAAGAGGTGTTAACTGCAGCCAGGGATGGTGGCAAGTTAGATGAGGTAGCCGAATTAATGTTTCCAGGAATACAACAGAATCAGCTTGCACAAGATGAGGTCAACTGGAAATCTCGGAGGTAAGTCTTCATACTACACTGGGGATAAAGAGGCCGACAATAAGAATGATGACACTGCGTCACATTCACCTCCCTCGAAATTGTCCACTACTCTCCACGAAAAGTAATTCGAATATTGCTTCTTGCAATACATCTGCAAAAGAATTGTTTTTGAACACAAAACAGCAATTTTCTTAATATAAAACGACCTTTACATCCTAGCATTCGAGAGGGTGAACAAGCTCCCAACATCGAACCGTTCATTAAAATTGCAAATGGAGCATTTGAACACGTAAAAATTTGTAAACACAGGGCTTAGCGGAGAGGGTGAATACGACTATAACACAGCTGGTAATGAAGGACTATCTATGCAGCAGAGCCGGACTGACTGCTTCCGGTTCCCGTGTTGACCACCTTTATATCACAGTTAAATGTGCGAGGCATCAGCAATGGTCAACTAGACTAGAAGACACACCGCGCCCTCAAATGAATGAAACACTTGACTCTGTTATGGCATGTAAAGGAACATTTTGAAATTTGACCATCTTACCTGGAGCTTCTTAATCTCTTTCTTAAGGTCGGCCTCATACTTTTCTTTTTGGTTCGTATTAGTTGCATTGTAGACCTGATAAAAAAAAAAGTAATCGAAGAATACCATGAAACCACAAGGAACAAATCACAATCAAAAGTGCATCCCGAAGCTATTCTTGAAAGATAAGGACAGAGACTCCATTTTAAGGCATCATTGTATAAAGCACTCTCGTTAGTGGAATGACTAGCAGGGCGGCATCATGTCGACTACAAGATGCGATCAATATTCTTGAAGGCATTCTTGAAGCGATGTGAAGTTATTAAATTCGGAGTATCACTGCAGCCGACATTTCGACAAGGGGAATTTCCTTTGTGACCTCTCCTTTCTACACTCCATCTTGCTTTCCCCTTACAGACCACTCAACAATGTTGCATCCCGTTTTCGCATTGATTGCAGAAATCAGTGTATCCCGACATCAAACCCGCATCATCGCCATAACAATCAAATAAATAGTAAGACACCAGTAAAGAAACCAGTTTCCGCACTGACAAAAACTAGTTTCTTTCGATATTGGCTCCGGACACATTTCTTGTTCGGCAACTCATCACTTCAAGCAACCATAGTCCTCAGACCTTCTCGTCTCGTTACACACAAAAAATGTGGCATTGCTTTCGACGTATTCCCGAATGTTTTTCTTGGAGGTATCCAAGCCGCACTTTAATATATTTATCGTCTAAGTTGTATGAAAGTGGTCTCGATATCATTTTAACTCCCTGGAGAAGGAGTTCTTGGCTGAATTTCAACCTGCCCGTACATCTGTCCAGCACCTCGTAATGTTGATTTGTCGGAAATGACAGATTGCCTTGATTGTGCTCAATAAGGGACATATAAAATCAAATACGATTTCGTTTTGGCACCCCAGTGTTTTTCTCAGTAAGCAATCATTTTTGCCGTCAAAATATGACAGCCAGAGCGCGATTCGAACCTGAGACATTGAGATCGGCATCATGACACTTCAGCGGCTAAGCAACTATGACATGCCATCAACGATAGTATTCAAGACCTACCCCATTGTCAACCTACAAAAGCTTTGCATCAGCGCAACTGAAATTAACATCAATCAGAAATGTCAACCGCATGTAACCTAATGACAGTTTAACTCTAATGCTCTCTTCATTCAACTAAGCCCACTGGGGGGTATCTGAACAGCTGCAAATGACTAGTGCTACATAGTCAGCATATGCCCTTATCCACACCCTGCAGTAACTCTGCATTTAACATGCAAAAGCTGATGTTTCCTTAATTCAAATACGAAAACCATAGTTGGCATACCGGGTTTCATGTCGCACAACTCGTGTCCCATTGTCTACATTAATCCCGTACACCAGATTTCCCCCAGTGAAGCCAACAAAGGGGTTGGCATTAAACGTAACACATCAAGTGACGTTACAAACACGCAAGCACACACTTGCACGTAAACGAACATGCTCAAGGTTACACACCTTTTGCCAAATGTCCTCGAATTGCTCCACGCCTTCGGTTACTTTCTTTAAACACCGTTCTATTTCTCCTGTGGAGAGATGAAAGAGGGGGACAATCAAGCAACAGTGCCAGAGTCGGCACACAGCCCGACACAAGCAGCAGGTTACAGATGCAAACAAGGACAAAAGAAGGGTGGGCCAACAGCACTGCTCAACATTCAGTCACTTAGCCAGTTTTAAAGGCGCTCACTACTCGTTCACAAACAGGTGACAGTGTGTGCATGCCTTCTATTTCGTCTTCAACTTTGGTAGTATTTTTCTTGCATTCAAAGGAGTACGGATGCAAAAGCTTTGTTCCTTGCTTTTTCTGATGCAATAACGAAGCTGATAACACCACTTGTACTGGCTGGATGGCCCAATTGCTCCGGTTCACGGGGTTTAGTTATTTGGAGGCATTCTTCATGTACCCAGCAAACCGATACATTTTTTTTTGTATAAAGAGGTGGTCCCCCACCCCGCAAGGCAGTGCCACATGCTGCAATGTGGCACTGCCCCATGCGCAAGCAGCATGGGAGCCACCACACATTCACGACACTATGGTTCTCGTCTTCCAACATTAAAATCATGTTGATGTGTGCATTGCAAGGTGCAATGTTTGACAGCAGTAGTGTCAAAGAATTGATCTGAAATATGTTCTGGGTTATATTTATCATCCGTACTTCTACTATGTTTGTGCACCCACACTGACCCACTACGCACATTATCTCGCATGCAAAATTTCGTGTCAGCAGTGCTCTAAGCAAACGAAAGTACCCTCAGAAACTTTTTCCTTGAAGGAGCGATGAAGTTAAACAATGAATCGGTCCAAACTTACAAATTTTGCTCTAAAAATTGTGATGTCATTACTTTCACCATTATAGGGTTATTAATAAAGGAAGAAATTGAGATAACATAAACCAAGGTCAGAATTTTTTTTTTTGAATTTCGCACCAAAAAACACCACACACAAAATCGCAGATTTAAAAGCATATTTTTCATATTTAGGCGACCTTAGCTGCACAAGATTTCTCGAAAATTGGTATGCTAAGTGTATGGGGCCCTTCAAAAGACAATATTGCAAACTTCGTAGGACTTAGTGGATGCTGTCCAAAACCAATGACATCGTGCCATTTGGCGAAGATATTTCAATATGGTATTTCAATATTTCAAAAAGGAAAATTAGACCCGGAACACTTCCCGGTTTAACATTCCCTGTTCTTAAAATCGGCTTGAACACTTATTTCCAAGGCAACTTATGTACGGAAGGATAGAAAATGACTTTAGAATATAATTTTTTTTCCCATTACGACCCATTTCAAATCTGCAAGACCAAGAATTAAGATATAGAAATTAAGACTTGTAGAATAGATTGTTAAAGAAATCCGAGCTGTTTATGCTGAATACATGAAAGCATGCCCGTGTGCGCGCACACACACACAAAAGCACATCACGTTATCCGATATCTTTGAGAAAATGGGCAACATGACTCAAGATGCAGCTAATATGCTGCAAAATAGTTAAGGGCAATGATGAAACAGATTCTAGGATAACGGCCAACAATACAGAACCGATGAAGTAAGTGGCCTGCAACCTCTTGTAGCCGCCATCCCACTAAACTGCTATGACTATCACTAGTCTACTAAATCGACATTGACTCTACAACTTTCTTTACTATCACTTGTCTACTAAATTGACATTGACTCTACAACTTTCTAACGAACGAGAGTTCTAGTCCGATGCCCTACAAGTTTGACACTGATGGATTGCCAGAAACATGGACGAAAAGCTGTGCTCATCAGAGGTGCGCAGAATGACTTGTTCATACCACATGCTAGAAACTTCTTTTGTCTCTGTGAAACGTCGATATACATTCTTATTGTCCCTACTGCACCCCAGACATTGCCAATATAAACAGCATTTTAAATTATATGGGACACCTGATGCGACACACAGCATGAACGAGAATAAGCGACGCACTAAAACTTATGTGAAGAAGAAAGGTCAGCCCCTTGCAGCTATGCATGCAACAAACTGTGGTCAAACTTTTCTTGAAGGAAAGTGCTCTCAAGATAACCTAAAGAAAGAAGTTAAGCAGTGAAAAATTAGCATGACCGCAAAAAAGGAAGAGAAAAAGAAACATTACACAAAAATTTAGTAACATTTATCCCGGCTCATGAATCTTATCTGGAACTAGACTGGTTTCCCTGCAAACTAGCAGGTCACACAAGCAATGCCTAATTGACACCCATTCTTCAGTCACAGCAGCCTACCATCCATTTTTCTCAAACTTTCATACAGTTGTGCGTGCGTCTACGAAGGACCGACTCCCCAGAGCACTCAACCACACAGTCAAGAGCTCTCGAAGCATCGCAATTCGGACCTTTAAAATACAGTAAAACCCTTAAATTACATTTGCCAGCGTACGTTTTTGGTGTCTGGCCCCAGCAAGCAGACTAGAGAGCTACGCATTAGGGTTCCCTCTGCATACATTGTGCTGGCATGTTCCTGCCCGATACGTTTGCCAACAGCCAGCACGGTAGATGTGCTAACAATGTAGGTTAACGAGTTTGGCCATGCGGACTGCCAGAAGGCCATCCGACAGCTCGCGAAAGGTCGCATTCATGCAAAGCCGAAAAATAAAATGCCATACTTCCATGCAAGAATTCTTTCATGCCCAAAACTGATGAATAAATGGTTTTGAGCTAAAGCTGTGCGTAAGGAGTCCGGTCCATTTAGCGGCACTTTTTGCCCCTACTTTAACTGAGTGTTTCCATTGTAAATTAAATGGCTGGTGCGTCTCCTTTTCACAAGAAGGTTGACACAGCTCCGTGAATAGCATGTTGTGAAGGTTAGTGCATCATGTGTGCATCTGCTCCACGGCATGCTTGTGATAAAACGCAACATAAGAAGGCCACTAAATGTTGTACAAAAAAGGCCTAATTTCTTCAAAAACAGGTTAAACTGCAATGCCAACAAAAAGTGCTAGTGAAACTAAATGGGTTTTTAAAGTGCTCGACTTCAGGTCACTCACATTACCCACAATGCCTGCAAGGCAAAAGGTCATTTAACATCATGCAACCACAATAACGTTGCACAAAAAAGTGAAAACACTGCAGCCTTTTTTTTTTTTCTAGCTGGCTGTGCCTTTGTGTGGCTGCCCCAGCGATAGTATTGTAGATATGAGAGAAATGGTGTACAATTTGCGATTTATTCATCCCTTTTCCAGCGCGTTCAGGAGATTCACAGCTTTTTAGGTAATCACACGATGAGCCGCTGTCCTGCCAACATGCCAGAAGTTTTACACAAAATGACAACGACAAAAATTTAACAGCTGCAAAAAGGATTTAGTTTGTCAAGTTTTTGTTCTGGAGATGTAGCTGCCGAAACGACACGATTATTTTGACTGCTTGGGTTTCTTCAGAGTGCAGCCAGGCCTATTTACACGATTTCCTTTACATTTTTGGAGGTATCAGAAGGTGGCCACAGCAGTAATAGACCCCCACAACTTTTGAGACATTAGACTGACGCGACTTTTCTCGATTCTGTGCACTGCACAATTAGCAAAAGAATGAAGCACAAACACTGCGCTAATGGTGAATAAAACAGTGTTGCATGACGTTCCTTTACATCAATTCTGGTTAAAATATTTTTGAAGACAAGATTTGTGGAATATTCACATGCATGCAAATCTGGGAGGGTTAGCGACACTCCCATGCTTCACAGCGAGTGTGTAACAATTTTTTCTTTGCCAGCCGACACGTACGTGATTAGTCGACAATCCTTTAACAAATGAATAATTATTGACCATACAATTAAAACTAACTGCTGCAAAGGCCACCATCATTTAGTTTAACACTTTTAATAGCTTCATGTTTGGGCTCCGGAACATTGGCATCAAAGTGCGCAAGTTTCAAGCATTTCGAGATGGTCAGTAGTATTGGGTGTCGCAAAAAAGCTAATCCATACAGGACTGTCCAGTGCAGTTTGGTGGTCTCGTTAGTGAACGAAGTCCATGCCACGCGAGTCGAACAAACAACAAGCTGGCATGGCGCTTAATCACTCTAGGAACCGGCGCGCAGGCTCCACCCGACACCTCACCTTTAGAGGGAGAGGCGTTCGAGTTTCTCGCGTAGTTGCCCGGTCACACAGAGCATTCAACTGCCACAAGTGTTTATCAAGCGCTCCATTCACATGTGCGATCCGTTTACGTCGAGAGAAAAAATGCTTGCCTAAGGTAGTTCCTACTACAACGGATGACTCAGCGTAGCCTACGCATCAACAGCTGGCTCAGTCACAACAGTAATGCGACTAAACATTCAGAGTAAAAAATGTGAAACCTTCACAGGCAAAACAGAAGAAAAAAAAAACGAAACAGTGAGATTGAGTTTGTGAGAAATTGATTTTAAAAAAAGGTCTAAACTTATAATGCATATGCAACAATGTGAATAAATGTGAGATATTAATCAGGTTTGGCAAACTCGGCTGTCTAGTCAGCTCCCAAATTAAAGGTATAGTTATTATATTAGTCATTATTTTCTTGTTTTTTTTTTCACACTCTGAATCTTTTTTATATATACCGTCTGCCTTCTACATCTTTTTTTCTCTCTTTTTTGTAAGCAATAGTGCAGTTATCGTCCATAGGATATTATGTTTTCTTGGCCAATCCCCCAGAGTGAGTATGTGCCGTGAATTCCAGGCTACAAACAAACCACCAAACAAAAAACACTAATAACGACCAACTTTTATGTACCTTGTGTGCCTTTCCTCAAGTTTATCACCGAGGTCCCGCTACTCTAAAGCCATGAACAGAGCACATTAACAGCGTGACGCTTTCTTGAATAGTGTCACAGGAATAGTGTCGATTCGCGGCTGTTCATTATTTCGTTTGTGGCAATAGGAAAGAGGCAAGCGCAGCATATTGATTAAAGGGGCCCTGCAACACTTTTTGAGCATGGTCAGAAAACGCTGCCGATCGGTAGTAGAGGCTCCTAACAACACGCAAGCCAAATATTGCAGTGCAGCGCGCGGCCTAGAATTCCCAATAAATTAT